GTAGCCGTGTATACAATGACGAGGCATCGTACACTATAGCATTGTTTTTTAAATCGTTAATGCTCTTGGTGAATAGTAATTATGTTATTTATAGTATTTTTGAGAGGATTTTGAGGAGTTTTGTTTAATGGTTCAAGAATCTATGTCTTTTCTTATTATTAGGACATAATTTTAATGGTCCATTATCTGTTGTCAAGGTTTAAAATACCTATGGTGGGTTTAATGATATGTATCACATCAACAGCCTATAATGCCCACGGTTGAGCAAAGTCTCTTCTGACACGGAGAAGGTTTGAGCTGAGCATTAATCACCACGCTTGCTTAATGCGGGTTGGCGATTTCAGACTTATAATTATAATTATGATACGTATAATGTGAACGATACGTATAGTGTGATAATGTTAGAACCTCAGTTGACTTGAGGCAATCTAGTTCAGAAAACCTAGGAAAATGAACACACTAACTAATATAATATGCTTCTGTGTAATAAGCTAAAAGGATCCTTTTGCTAAACTCCGTATTTCGGTATAAAAAACATTTAACATTAAGAAGAAAAAATACGAGATTCCCATCCTAATTTGTACAGTTTAGCCAATTTGTGCCAAGTCGGAGATTAGGCTTGTTATAAAAAGTATTTATTAATGACGCCACGGGGCGCTTTCTCAGAATACTTTAGAAAAATCTCATGGAAATTGAGTAAAAGAGATGTACGCGTGCTTGTGAATATTTTAGCTAGACAAGTTTGTTCTCGAGATTTGTTTGTTTTCATTTTATTTTTATTGTTTATAATATGGCCTGGAGCTCGAGGATTAGTGGCGTCTGTAAAGTATTTTTGTGCTGAGTTTGTATGTTTTAAATTGAATTATAAGTGGCAAGCAAATGGAACAAAAATAGAATATTGTTTAGTTGGAAATAAACTAAATGAGTAGGTATATCCATAATCTACTCGCATTAATCACATGTTAAATTACTTATACAAAATTAACAGTTTCATCTATAGTTACATAATAGCTCATTATCATCATCATTATCAACAGCCTATAAATGCGAAAAGAACAAAGCCTCTTCTCATACGGATAAGGTTTGAGCATTAATCATCGCGCTTGCTCAATGCGGATTGGCGATTACAAACTTATAATCAGAAATTTTAAGCCCAGGTTTCCTCACGATGTTTTCCTTCATCGTTTGTCAATGATGTCTAGATAATCTTAGAAAGTATATATAACTCGGAAAAAGTAAAATTGGTACTTGCTGTTGGTAGGTTTCGAACCCTCATGCATGAGAAGCGGGCATCTTAAACTTCCGGGCCGCCACTACAATTACATATTACCTACAGATAAATAAAATCGAAGTATCAGTTTATAATATTATGTTTGATCGTCCACATTCAGCTCACTTTGTGTCCTCTGGGCCTGAAAAGAAATTAAAGAGAGCTGATGCTCCCTACCTGAGGAGCGTCTGAAGATGAATGCCTGTAGTCACTCCAAACGTAATTTGGCTTTCAACTAATTGGCTCATAGTCTTGGTTGATTGCAATTAAAAAAAAACAATATTTCAAAAATCAAACCTCACTTCGACTAAAAACAACAGAATATCCACAACTTTCTTCTTACTCCACCATAATCACATTCTCATGTCCCAATTCTAACGTGAAAATCCTAAAATTTTATTAAAACTACTATTAACACTGGAGTTTACTTGCTTAATTTAAATTGCTCGTTTAGCGTTCACGAAATTCCACCTGTATTAAATGTAAGACGAGCTCTCATAGCTTGGAGGCGTTTATTTTCCGGAAAATTCCGGTTAGAACCGGTGAGTGCCGCTCTGTACCGGAACATAAACGTGCTACGTGACAAGTGTGTACGTGACTTTAGGGCTGTTATACACCGTTGTAATAATATATTGTAATAACTAGTTATGCTTCCTCGTAAACGTTGATGGCTTGATGTATTAGCTGTTATTAAGATAAGGAATTCGTTTAGATATTTCCATAATCACCAGAGTAACGAGGTATCAGGTAGGGTACTGGATGACCTTACTGATTTTTTGTTACATAAAAATAAAACTAATTGCGACTGAACGGTATTTTCAGTGTCAAAACGATTGGTACATAGACGTACACTTTCAGTAAAATACTGACAAAGTTCTTAATTAATTTAAATTTAAATTGCTGATGTGTAATTGGTGGCTTGTTCGGCCGCGAGTCACTTAAGGGAACAGTAGACCAGCGCAAGGTTCTGTCTTGTGCATGCAGAACTGGTCTCTTTTCATCGCAGACTTGGGACATTGAACAGGTATCCATCAGTACCTACTAATAGACTAACACTATACTATGTATGTGCTACTTGTTTTTTTTAAAAAAAGCTTTATTGATCCTTTTTAATATGTTTTTTAAATAGATCATATTGATACAAATTCACAATAAAATACGAGCCACTAAACATCTATAGGTAAGTATAAGTAATCCCAATGTAATGTGTATCTACAACCTTGAACAATAAAACACATTTTCCCAGAAGAACAGTTTGATTCAACTCTTTCTTGAACTTTTATTTCACTTCTTATAGTACCTACGGGAAATGATGGGTTATCGCGTTCAAACTATACAGTAAAGAGAAGAGGATTCTGAAGGGTGATGTTATTGTCAAATACTTTGCATTTTAATATTGGTAAACTTGACATGTATTTACTTTTGACTTGATTTGGTCAAAACATCTACTAGTAATTTAGTGTAATTGAAATCATTGTGTGTGATTGATATTATTGTAATTGAAGATAATGTGCGCGATTATCTCGGTTATTGGCTGAGCCGTTTTTCAAAAAAGTGTTTGCTACACTTTAGGAGAACTTTTTAGTATATTAATTAACCGACTTCAAAAGAAGAAGGCTTTATGTCGGTTTCATTCAACTTAGTTTATAAAAGAATTATAATAAACATAGGTAAATTGGTAACTTATTTGAAAGCATTTCATAAATAGGAACTATGTGAAGCAAAGCATCCAACCAATATAACAATACTAGCATGATTTTTTTTACGTCAGAAATGTTCATTATCGACACTTAAATTCAGCAAAAGTGTCAAAAAATGTATAGGAATCAAGTTTATTATGCAAATACATGTACACAAGGTTTGATGTGGTTCCACACAGATTCAAGATTCACGGAACAACGACCTCGAATTTTACTGATTGTTTGCCATCGGGCGTAACTCGTACAAAGGCAGAAAAAATCATGGACTTCATCTTTTTGTATTTCAAAAACTTTTCTCTTTTGTGAATTAATAGGGAATCAATGCGTATTCCTTTGTCAAACAGCATGATGACTGAGTTGAATAATCAAAGTGACAGGCTGCTTTGTTGTGGGACGTGCCGTTGTTACAACGAAAATGTTATGTCAAATGTTTTGGAGGCCCACAGGGTAGTGTTTTTGGACCATTTCTGTTTACATTATTAAACTACTTTTTTATCTAACAATTACAGAGGAAATTGGATTAAGGATAATGATAAGTTATAAGATAAGTTAGATATATAAGTTGCTTCTACATGCATACTAGTACATGAGTTATTGCGATTCGTGTTTGACACATAACAAGGACACTGTTTTGTAAAACAATGTGTTATCTACTCTACTCATCCTTTCAGAGAATAACAGGTCCAACGATGACCTAATAAATAGGCATTACCCAACATTAACAGTTTTTTTAAATAATGTAATTCGTTACTATTGAAGCTTAAATTAATTAGTCTGAAATATAGACAGGTTTAGTAAAAACGGCTACATTTTACGGCTCAACAGGCTTCAATCCTATTTACCGAGTAGCCTTTCAATGTTTTGTAAGCCTAAGTTAATTAGGGATTTCAGTATTAAAATAATTAAACTAATTCCATTGTAAGCTCATTAATTGTTTAGTGACGTCATACTTCTTAACGTATTTTTGCAGAAATATAATCTAGAACTCCGTACTTAGAACCTGTTTTTCTATCAATAATGTCTTTTATTTACAGGGTAGACAGAGGTGCACATTATGCCACTATACAGGGTAACACCCACATTTCACTATGTATGTTATGAGTCCCTTGTAATAGGAGGTGAGCCTATTGCCATAATATCGGGCACCATTCCAGACTCTGTGCTACTACTGAAATTAAAAAAAAACCAATAATACTAGCCCGACCCGGGAATCGAACCCGAGACCCCTTGCCCGGCTACTTTCTCGTAATAAAAGTAAATATTGATGAAATAAGCAGAATTGAAAAGGCCATCATTTTCTCTAAGAAAAAACACTCAGTAAGTATTATTCAGACGTCAATAATAAAGCCTACACCATCTTCAAACAAAACAAATCTCCAGAAAATCGTAACTCACAAAAATTACCAGCATTCTGAAAAATGTGTCAACTTTTTATGAAAGATAAATAGGAGGTATTTCCTAGTGAAGTTCCTTCAAGGAATATTTAGAGTTCCGAAATAAAGAACACGATATCAAGCAAAAGCTTTGTTTTAAAACAGTTTTTTCTTTTATTTCTCTTCCAAACATTGAAGGCTTTGGTGTCACGAGGTTTTTTGAATAAAGTTACTAGCACTTCGGAGTGGCAAGTTTCAATGAAAACTGAATATTTTTCTGTTTGCAAAACCGCAGTTCCAATGCCTTAGTTTCTGTCTGAGATAGTTTTTAACTCTCGTTTGTTTGATGTCGTTTGTGTTCGATGCTCCGTCGCGTTCCTGTCGCCCAGTTTCTGCAAGTAGAATTAAAATGATAGCTTTTGTTTTTGTTATGGATTCAGTTGAATTTCTATGTTCTTTTTTTTCATTTACTTTAGTTGGTATTGATTTATCGGGCTCGTGATTTATTGTAAGACTGTTTTTAAGTTTCAATTATTATCACTGGATGATTTAAAAATGTTCCTTATCCTTAAATGGTTTATGCTATTATTTTCTGGAGAAGCTACATAGATAAATCATAGATGAAATGGCGTAACGTTGAATATTTGCTTGTTCCAGGCGGTGAAGCGCATCGGAGGACGGTTTGATGGGGCGGTGACCCAGCATGCGCCGCGTGCCGCTAGCCGCGCTGCTGCGGCTTATCATCATAGCAGGTATACCCATCAACTACACATATAATATGCCTTGACTATAGCAAATCATGAAAAAAATATTAGAAAAATGTGATTGTGTCTTACGTGTAATGTCATTTAGAAAACTTTCTATTTTCTGTCTTAAGTGTAAGTTCCCAACTCTATTAAATTAATTTTATATTTATTAAATTACATTGTGCTATTATTTTTTTGTTATAAAACATTATACCCCAATAGGTTTCAGAATAGAGCTCACAGTGTACAAATAACTTTAGGAACTCATGATATAAATGATATCAAGTGGGTGTTCGTTAACTACCCTGCATCCCTGCTAACTGAGAAGTGTAATATTACTAACAAATGATACCGATATGTTCTATGGCAGCCAAAGTTCACCCACCAAGAGGAACTTAAAATAGGTATATAATATTTAAAGGATTAATAGAAATGTTTGTACAAATTACCCAGAAGAAAATACCAGTGCAAAGTAAAATGAAATAAGAAAAGATAAAGGTGATGAACTTTAAAAAAGATTTGGTTTCGATGCTAAAACTGTCGCCGTAAAGTTTTGTTCAAGTTTTAAACTTGAATCAGTATATGTATTTTATGTAGGTGAAGATTTCACGCTGCAGAGAACAAAGAAGGGTGTCTGCAATTAATAGCTCTAATGTTGTCATCAAGTATATCAAAAACTATTACTATACACAATACGTGTTATAGACAAGACTGCTCAGGACTACGAGCCTTTGCGTGATTTGAAACTAATCGGGTTAACCCATCAGATTGTAATATGACAGTTGAAGTACACCAACCTTTGCAAAATTATGCTAATTTGCAATAGAAACTTTTACTGGTATTTAATTTTTTAAACCAATAATTTCTTACTTGAGTTTCATTGTCCTTCTAATAATTTCAAACCTAAAAACCAAACCGATACATAGGGCCATAGGCATAACATTTCGTTACCCAAACCATTGTTTTTTGTAACTAATGTACCGATCGGTGATAGTCCCGCCCGATTGCCGAGCTAGTCGTCGGCACAAATTAATGTGTCTGTCCCGCCCAGCCCAGTAGTCGCGTCCCTAGCTATTTATTATAATGAACAGATTATTTGGAACTCAGTGGGTTTTTATCGGTATTTTATCGATAGTTAATGGGGCTAGTTTTATGTTTTTGCAATATGTTATTGCCATCTTTTATTGGTATTGGGTTGGCATTTGGCCGCCATTCCGCCTGGTAGTAAGTGATGATGTGGCCTACGATGGAGAACGCTTGTCCATACCACTTCCACCTTCTGTCTACTTACCTTCTGTCGTGGAAGATATTTCATAAGTGCTATAGAATATGTACGTAACCTTCAGATAGCGGTATGTCCTGACTAATGTAGGTATATTTGCAGCCATCGGGCTTTTAATAAAAATAGCGCCTTGCTCTGAAGTTTTAAACCTTGTATTATTAGAATCTAAATATTATTATATTCTACCTTTAAATAAACACATCTAATTCATTCTGCATCGTACTTGCTTTCCACTCATAGGCAGCCAGTATAGTTGGAACTCGTGCCTCCCTTAATTTATAGTGCTCCACACATTTGCATAGAAAAATCTGAATAGAAAGAGGTCTAACTACACTGGTCGTTGAACAAGCCAACTCTAATGAAAATGTAAAGAATTTAACGTTTACTGAACGAAAACCAACTTCTTACCAATTGCACTTTGCTACTTTTAAATTGTAAATTTTCCTAGTAGCAACTTTTATTTGATTTATTTCATTTAGTTTTCTGTTACCTCGTTGGTCTAGTGGTGGCAATGTGATTTTTAAATTCGTGGGTAGTACCGTTTAGGTTATCAGAATTCTCGATATCAGAGCTGCATAACCTTGCCATATCTCCCGTGTATGAGCTGATAATATTATTACTTAAAAATTATGCTTCATTTAAAATACGCTGTATGACAGGGAAGTACGAAGTTCTCTGAAGTTACTACTTCTAATGATTATAATATTTATGATCCTTTACTTTTAGATATTTTCTAGTGGTTCTGACAACCAAGGATTATTCCTTGTATAGAGTCATTTTTGGGTTAAACAATACAGTCTCTCATAGGACCAATCACATACATCTTAAGATTTAATATGGAATGTATCTGATACAATGTAAGTAGCCTCATATCATTTTCAATAGCCTGTATCATCATTGTCGATGAGATTCTATAGCCTTGTAGCCATGTTATAGGCTATCTATGACGTCATATCAAGATTAATCTGGAGCCACACACTGCTGTCGGCTACACTCCAGGGAAATTCATTCTGAATAATGTGTAAACCAAGTTGCTGTGGTAACAGTGTCATATTTGTATCCTTTATTGCAAGGGAATATGGTTGGTTTTTGAAGATCGTGTAGTTGAAATTTTGGTTGATTGTATTTTGTTGTTATGGTTCGAGCCATAATTCTTGAAGGTGGAAGGTGATTTTTATGTTATCTAACATTTTACGGTAGGAAGGCAATGTTTTAAAGGTACATAATTTTGCATCGTTGAACGAGAGCTTGATTCAATGTCTTAAGATTGAATTGTCAGGTTAAGTAAGGGTCAGAAAGAAAGAAAAAACTTTATCTCATGCTAAAAAACAAGTGACATGTACAGATGTGTTAATTTATTAGTAGATACTGATACATGTTCATGTCCCAAGTCTGCGGTGAACTAGGACCAGTTCAGCATGTGCAAAATTTACAAGATGTAGATTTAATATGTTCTGTAGTGGTATCAGGAATCGCTCTTATCCTTTTTATTTAAACCATCAATTAATATTGTTAATGACAATGTCCGCCGCCCGCTTCTCATGCATGTTTTGGAATGTACCAACGGCAAGTACCAATGTAACTTTTTTCGAGTTATATGTCCTTTCTAAGATTATTTTTAGACACCACTGACAAACGACGTTGAAGGAAGACATCGTCAGGAATTTTTTTTTAAGGGGGAAAATTTCGCCCGGTTGAGGCGAGAGGGAGCGTCAGACTCTTACTGATTAAAAACCACCCCGTTCCTACTTCTGCACTTCGAGCCAATCGTGAGGAAACCTGGACTTATAATTTCTAATTATTAGTTTGTAATCGCCAACCCGCAACGAGCAAGCGTGGTGATTAATGCTCAAACTTTCTCCGTGTGAGAAGAGGCTTTGCTCAGCAGTGGACACTTATTGGCTGTTGATGATGAATGACAATTCTGCAGACTCTATTCTATCCATTCCTTTCAACTTCCCTTGTACAATTTCCATGATAAATATAAAATACTTGTTGCATAAAAACTTGGAAGCACAAACCTTTTTGCATTTCTCAACGCCTCTTCACCTTGAAGCACTACTTCCCGCCATTTTCTTACTCGACCAGCGTAAACCGTTAACAATATACAATTACTCTTAATTCAACACTGTTCTCCATTTAAAAAGATTTACAACATGGCCACTTTGTCAGTCCATTCCAAGGAGTAATTAAATTTGCAATCGTAAAAGAATAATCGTTTATTTCCAGGAGTAAACCTTGTTTTGTATTTTGTTCGTTGTTTTAGGAGGTAGATAGGTATTTAGTAAGCAGTTTTCTTCATGAAAAACGATATTATCCACACTAAAATGAAGGTCTTTACTTAGTTCCTACTCCAGCATCTGAAAAAGTCCTTTATTGCCATCGGCGTTGAGTTTCACGTCACGATCAAAATTGAATGTGTTCTGATGTTAAAAATTTGGAAACTTTCAATCGATATTATCACTACCAAAAATAAATGTGAAGTAATGATTTTATAACCAAAATAGCTTTAAACAATTTATAAAAGATTCCTTCGTCAGTAGGTTAAGCTAAGAAAATAACCGCAACCATAACTGTAATTAACGAATTTGCATTTAATGGGAGAATGTATGCAAATTATAATGTACGATGTATCACGCTTCATGCATTTTAAATACCTTAAACATTTTCTTGGTTTTTGTTATTTTAAAATAACAAACTAAATGATTTTGAATTCATTTTTGAATTTAGCATTGTTAAGTAATGAATTTTATGCTTGCCTTTCCGTAGAATACCTACCAATTACTCTTCTCTGCATCACCCAAAGGTCGGATGGGAAGAAAATGCCTGCGGCATTAAGTCCACTTATGTACACTTTGTGCATGAAGCATATTAAATAAAAAAATAAATAAAATACCTAACAGGGGTACAAATAATCAGACAATGCCAAGCTCCATATCAATCTTGTAACTTTCGTGAGAAATACTAAATTAATTACTTGTTATGCTTTTCGGATCACTCACTTAAGTTTCACTGGAAACTAGTCGAGTTTTTTATTAAACCGTTACACGAGTAAGCCGAAAAACAATAATACATATATAACATCACGCCCTTTATCCCCGAAGGGGTATGCAAAGGTGCACATTATGCCACTGTACAATGTATCACTCAAATTTCACTATTTATGTTATGAGTCCCATGTAATAGGGGGTGAGCCTATTGCTATATACCGGGCACAATTCCAGACTTCGTGCTACAACTGAGAATTTTTTAAAAACCCAGATATAGTTTGCCCAACCCGGGAATCGAACCCGAGACCCCCTGAGCGGCAGTCGCACTTGCGACTTCTCGGCCAGCGAGGCAGTCAGAAGCGAGGCAGAAAAACATTAATTAAAATATTAATCTTATCTTACATCTGATAAATACGATATCAATAACACTTAAGAAATTGAGAGAAAAGAGAGATCGATAGTAATGCCAGTTAATAAAATACACCTAGTAGATTCGACTAAGGACTCAGCTGGCAATGTGTGAGAGTTGCAATTACAGCCATTAAACAAATGAGACTGTTGATGGATGGATCAATGTTTTTAATTGCATTAAAATAAGGTTCAATATCGGTTGCAGGTTGTATAGCAACAAGGTTATCGCTTGAAGTTTAATTAAATAAACATTTATGTCTATTTTGTTGATTTGAATATTATAGAAGCTATAAAAACACATTTAGGTAGTTGCATTTTTTTCTTAATACCTTTCAGTAAAAGGTTCAGTTTTCTTTGTATAATTAAATGATATCCAGTTTTTAAATGTGAAGTATAAAATTCATACTTACAAAAATATAGGTAAGGTAACATTTACGATGAAATTAATTTCCTTATAAAATGTATTTTCATACTTCAATACAGGCACATGGATCTTTTGTTAACAGATAATTACAGGCTTCTCCATTTCACATAAATTATTTCCCTTATGTTTGTTTATTTTATTTTCTTAAAGTAACATAATACCAGCATTTCAGTAAAAAATGGCTGAACAATGAAGGAAAATATATGCTACCTTCAATTTTTTGAAATGTAACTAGATATTCGTCGTAGTCGCAGTGGCTTGGACGCCCACTTCTCACGCATGAGGGTTCGAAAGATACCAACGGCAAGTACGACAATTTTTCCGAGCTATATGTACTTTCTAAGATTATCTAGACACCACTGACAAACGGTGAAGGAAAACATCGTGAGGATAACCTGGACTCAAAAATTGAGCAGGCGTGGTGATTAATGGTCAAACCTTCTCTGTGTGAGAAGAGGCTTTGCTCAGCAGTGAACATATCAGCTGTTGATGAAAAAAAATGAATAAAACTAGATATTATGCACAACAGATGTGGACAAAGTTTTTGCCATTTATTTTAAATTCTCTGTATGAAGGGAGTTTACTACCATACACACTTGTACAAAGCTCAACTCAAAATGAACTTTAAACTGTCAAACACCAAGCGGTCACCGGTGACCGCAACCTATTGTTCTATAAATTGTGTCTACAAAACCGGTACTCGACGAGTTAAAAACACATAAGTCACGATAATAATTTGCATGACCCGGGTTTCAAAGCCGACACGTCATAGTGAGTCTTATTCGGCTACGGTAATAAAGGAAAACTTTTGATAAATCATTACATCATACGATTGAACTGTCCTAAATGTAATCGTTGATCGGTGATATTTAACTAAAATCAGCAAAAATAACTTGAATTTTGAACACAATAAAACCTTACTTTCCTTAGAAAATTGATACTTTTCTTAGCGCTGGCTCTTTCAAAGATGCGCTGCATCACAAAACTATTTATAACACTGTACTATTTGTTAGCTTAAAGTATTTTTATACTGCGACAGTAATAAAGGTATTTTAAAAGTAAATATTTATATTTTCTGGCTCATATGTACTCAAGAAACATTTTTATATAAACTGGAATATTCAATTCAGTTTATATAAAAATGTTTTATGGCGTTTGGCTTGGTTTTCATAACAGCTAAAATAATTGACCACTTTTTCTAAGGTTTTAATGAGTAACTTCATGATTCTCACACGTGTCGCTGTGCTACTACCCCTTGCGTTTGAACACTTCAATAGGTAATTTAATTCATTTTCAATTAACATAACATAACATCACGCCTTTTATCCCCGAAGGGGTAGGCAGAGGTGCACATTATGCCACTGTACAATGTAACACCCACTTTTCACTATTTATGTTATGAGTCCCATGTAATAGGGGGTGGCATTATTCCAGATTCCGTGCTACTACTGAGAATTTTATAAAAAAACCCAGTAATATTTTGCTCGACCTGGGAATCGAACCCGAGACCCCTTGCCCGGCAGTCGTAGTTGCGATTATTCTAAGTTATAAAGTAAACTGATCCTAGATTATGCAGTCTATATATTATTATGTTTTTTTTTGTAAGCATCATGTACCAATTCTTTCTATTAAAATAATAAACCATTAAATATTGCTTTTAAAAAGTCGTTTATCATTATTATGCCCAGGTATAAAGCACGTCTGTGTAGTCGCACGGAAAATCATTATTAATGGAGGAAGAAAACTATAAAAGTCAACTGCAGTAAAATACAGAACAAAGAAAAACCGTTAGTTTTGCAATTAGTGCATCTTAAAATAGGTTGATTGGGCTTCGTTGTCCAGCCTTTGCTTCTATTGTGAGCGCCATGTTTCCTTGTCACTATTGTCACTGAAAAGTACAGTATTTTTCAGTCAAATTCGCTCGGTGCTAGACATAAAAATACGTTGTCGCGGAGAACCTAACGGGTAACCGGGGCTCCGGCTCGACGTGCAGGAGAAGGAACGGGGTGGATTTTAGTCAGTAAGAGTATGACACTCCCTCCCGCCTCACCCAGGCGGGAGCAGTCATTCAATGATTTTCCCCCCTTAAAAAAAGGACATAAAAATACGTGCTACCTTAGAAAGGCACTATTTTCGTAAACCATTTATCTCCATGCAAAATAATTCTTATACATACATCACTATAGAATGAGAATTTAAATAAAATTCTGCATCATAATAAACCCTTATCTTGTCCCCAGGCGGCGCCAATTTCGTTAACCCATACGTCAGTGAAGAGCGCGTTGACCTCAACCAAGTATGGGTGGAGATACCTTCAACCCTCGTGGCTTTAGGAGGCGACGTGCACATTCGAGTCCACGGCACAACTGGAGCAGGCCTCAAGGTCCGCATCGCTCGAGAAGACGATGACGGACGAGCACTCCTCGCTACAATGCCTTTAGCACTAGACTCTGAAAACCGCATGACCTTACCTTGCGGCTACTTCTCAAGAGGAGGCACCTACTACCTAGAAGTCATCTCAGATAAGGATCCTTATTTACCAGATTATGAGAACACGACAGAAGGGAAGCGTGATGTGGAAGTCAGTAATAAGGTGAAGAGAGACGTCAGTGATGGTAGTCTGATGGAGACTGGAGATAGCGTGGTGAAGTCCTGGAAGTTTGACGTGATGTGGCCAACTGCAAACCTGGATGTCACACCAGAACAGATTCAGACGTACCCTGAGAGGCAGGTGATGGCTATACTGGAGTTCCCCAGGGTGGTGTGTACTCCTATTGAGTCGAGCGCAGATTTTTGGTTGGAGCTGCTGTATTGTGGGCATTCTAGCGGTGGAGCTGTACTGTGTGATGGAAAGAATACCAGCTCACATGCCCATGTTCTGTATTCTGAACAGGTGAGATTTCAAATTGCGCTGCTATAATTATTTACTGATCAATTTTTTCTCTGTTTCTCTTCATTTTAATGAGTGAAGCTTTGACAAAGGCTTTAGCAATAGTCCCACAGAAATACTTATTTTGCTATTTAGGCACATGGAATAACATAGCAGCATATAGAATTAAGACATACGAAATTTCTGTTTATATTTTTTGAATAAATTATTTTATTTTATTTTATTTTTTATTTTATTATTCTAAATAATGTATAATTGCAGATGCATGGTTTCCCTGGTCGTCGAACGATGACACTGCGCTGTGAACTCTTTGGTCAGGCTGGAGACTATGCGCTGACACTGAGACCTGCAGCGGCTGCAGGGCCACAGGATCTCGCCACCGCTTTTATCAAAGTAAGTGATGTGATGACTATGTTGCTTTATCCACCTTCAAATTGAACAGAAAAATATGAAAAATCAGTGATAGTTAAGTTTACATTGAATACTAATCAGTTGGAAAGAATTGTATAGGTACACTTACTTACACAAAATTACTCAAAACAGATACCATTATTTTGTAAAGGACATAAAAGCGGCATTCACTGCTAGTAGCGATATCTCTTAGACAGCAATTGAGAGGACATAAAGTTTATAACACTAGGTATCATAAATACCGCCGCATTTCTAAAATACTGTTTCCCGAATAAAACTAAACGAAAGCATGTCTGTACGTTTGAAAATGAATGTTCTTTTAAAAATTCCTACATTGTGGTCAGAATTTCGTTTAACGCAAACATTTTTAATTATTTGTGAATAATGTTTGTTGGAGGTAATCAAAATGGTTCCCGTCTGACTTCCACTCTCATAAAAAAGCCTTTTTCAAATGAACACTTCCATAAATATTTACAGAGGCACAGGTTAACAGGATGGCCACGAGACCGGGAGGTCAGAGGGACTGTCTAAATATTGAGCTATATGAAAACACCGGACCTAATTTGTATTAACATAGCAACCTTTCCTTGACTATTTTTGGATCAACATTCTACGGAATTACGGATAAATCTATCAATAATTGTAAATTGATTTATAGCTTATCAGGAATCGAAACAATTACGAAAATAAACCGATATTTTAAAAGGAAAACGTAGAAGGAAGATTTGTAATTAATTTAAAATCTACTGTTTCGTATTGTTTGCTAGTTCATTAAATTCTATAACTGTTGCCAATCATGTGAAAATATTCCATCACTTATACTTCCATTTTGTGAATGAGATACGATATATCTATCTGAAACAGCATTAATATATTGCAAAATCGTCCGAATTTTCCTTCCCCGTGTTGTGGTGAGCGTATCGCTTCCATATTTTATTGAACACCTGGCTAAAGATGTATGGAGATAGATAATTCTCACAAAACAAGCTGAAAGGAGTCCCGTTGATAGAGATTGATAGTAGAATGTCAGCGCTGAGCGGTTTTGTATTTTAATTTTAAATGCAAAGGGTTTATATTTGAATTTGTTTGATAAATGGCTTTGGATTTGCATATTATCTCTATAGGCTTCTGTTCTATTAAATACATTATTTATTTATGGGTAATATATACATGATATGAAGTTTGAAGTATTTTAATTAAGTATACTTTACTTCAGTTGTGTGTGAAGGCTAAATTCAGTTCATTAGTTTAAAACTAACATAGTATCACGCCTTTTTATCCCGGAAGGGGTAGGCAGAGATGCACATTATGGCACTTAATGCCACTGTACACCTACTTTTCACTATTTATGTTATGAGTCCCATGTAATAGGGGGTGAGCCTGTTGCTATTCGGGTACATTTCCAGACTCCGTGCAAGTACTGAGATTTTTTTTAAAAAGCCAGCCGTACCTTTCTGTTTCCGGGGATTGAACCCGAGATCCATTGCCCGGCAGTCGCACTTACGACTACTTGACCAACGAGGCAGTTTTATACTAATTTTAAGTTAATTTTTAGGCAATTTCGTAACAAGAAGGATATTCAAAATGATAAGATTTTTTAAGCTTTTTAAAATTTAAAATTTCTTTTGAGGCAAAATTAAAGTTCAAATATTTGCAAAGAGATTCAGTGAATATTAAAATTGATTCAGTATCAATAAAGTTGCTCGACTGAAGATCATGATAACCAAATTAATATTATGTCAAAGGCCACGCTTGATCGATAACAAACACGAGAGAACATCGCAGCGTCTATCAAATATCTTTCAAAGAAAATCTCTCTTATTTCAAGTTTCAAATATATTTCAAAGTCTTTGTCCTTCTGAGTCTTCTGAGACGAGCTTAAATTAACTCGGCAAGATTTCCGTTTGATCTCAATTGAGAAACAATATTTTAACAATATTGTTCGTTATTTTTATTAAGATGGTAAAGTGAAAAATGAAAGAGTCTCAGTGGCTAAGTACATTACTTATAATTTTGCTGGGTGTAATACCACAATCACGTTTGCTTTTTACTTGAATGGTTATAATACGTACCGACCTTTTTTGCTCTTTCATTACTTTTGAAAAGGCTAACTGATTGTCATAAAGCAACAGAATATAATGGTGTATAAATATGGCGACGCAAAGTAATGCGATGCTACATGCAACTGCTGTTCTAAACGAATTGGTTTGTTTATTTTCGAGTCTTATAGAAGAATAGTAGAATTTTTCAATCGCGTAGTCACTTTAAAAAGAATAACAAATGACATCACATCTAGTCCTACTAGAACATTGAACACAACTGAGTTACCTATGTCGTAGATTTGATCGCATTTATCGCGCTAGCAGCGTCGTGTCGTATTCGTCCCGTACTGGATATATCGGAAATTCGAAACAAATTACATATCAACAACAAACAAATACATTGTACAGTGCTGTAATGTGCACCTAGTATGCCTAGTTGCCGGGGCTCCAGCTCAAACTGAAGGAGAAGGAACGGGGTGGTTTTTAGTCAGTAAGAGTCTGACACTCCCTTCCGCCTCACCCAGGCGGGAGGGGTCATTCGATGATTTCCCCGCTTAAAAAAAGCCTTCCCCTTCGGGGATAAAAGGCGTGATGTTATGTGTTATGTTATGTAAAACAAATTGTATTACAATACAATAGTATTGTATTTACTTTTTGCGGCTATTCTTTTTCAAATTTTTATACTCAGCACTGACCGTAACCTTGTCGAGAAACAGGAAAAACTTTTTTTGTTCATTTTTAAGATTGGCGGATGGGAAATGATAATATTTTACAACAGTCGTTACTCAAACTTGGGTGTTACAATCTGCATAAAAGTTTATGTGTAATAAATGGCTCTAGTTTAAGTGTTGTATTCCATTATTGAGCGTCAACAGCATTTTTTATGGGTAAAATTTTATCTATTCATAATGCTACAGTTGCTAAACTTTCTTTGATTATGAGGACATTGAATTTGTTTCTAATGTTTGCTTTTATATTTTTAGTATTGTGATTCAATATTGTCTTTTTATATGACTTTCAATTCAGTTAATGAGTTTTACAAATGCTTGAGGTTTTAAAATTTTAAGTGCAAATTTTAATTCTCGACACGAAGCACGGGGAGATGTTATCGTTGAGAGGGAAATTTCCGCACATTATGAATTTTTACATTATTTCGTGACATTCACATGACATGACTAAAAGTATGCACATTTCGCTAATCATGAGTTTCATTGCCACTTGTTCGGACCATCATTTCATTCTACCTTCTCTTGCTAGGCAGTTATATAGTGACTGATGCCGGAATACTGAAACGTTACTTAATTTTAAGTCGTGCTTAAATTTAAGTATCTGTCTGTCATTTTACAAAGAATTTGTGGAGACAGAACTATGCTTAACCGCGACTTAAAATTGAGTAGCGTTTGAGTATTCCGACATCAGTCAATGAAAATTTCAACAATAGTTCCATACTTTCTTAATGTGAAGATTCTAGAAGGTACGTAAGACAGTAGTGAGGTGATTACAGAATTTCTTTCCATTTTCAAGCCATTAACCAATAAAGTGGTGTCCATTAGCGTGAAACCACTTTGTAGAGAGTGGTGCAGGAAGGTAATCTTGCTTTTTTATTTCCACTTGCCATGAAGTGGCTACGATTTACCTTTTTAAAACGAATGTTGCTACTATCTTCTACTTTTGGGTTTATACATTTCGTTGCATTGCAATGTAGACTGACTACTCGATTGCTTATATATAGTAATTCGTTTTTTTTTAATAGCTTGAATGCATATGAGATGTTTCTCAAACAAACAATATATTTTCTATAATATATTGTGATATATTAAGTATAGAAAAAAATATTATTTAGCATGGATCTGAGTCTAGGTATACGACATGTTTGTCGCGGAGAACCTAACGGGTAACCGGGGCTCCGGCTCGACGTGCAGGAGAAGGAACGGGGTGGTTTTTAGTCAGTAAGACTCTGACACTCCCTCCCGCCTCACCCAGGCGGGAGCAGTCTTTCGATGATTTTCCCCCCTTAAAAAAAAAATACGACATGTTTATCCTAATTGTAACTATGTATTGCGTTGCAGTTAACTGCCCATGTAACATGTATTTCTTTAAAACGAAGTAAAATGAATGTAAAATAGGTAACCTATGTCATAGGGTGCATTTTATTTTTTTACTATTCATTAATAATTGGTGTGTAAAATGCCTTTAAATCTTGTTCGTCTACCATACCTTCGAGGAATAACTTTGGGCGTGGTTATGGTGATTGAGGCAACCATTTCAATTTTATCAGTCAGCATTATGGGTGCTACATACTGTTAGGTGTAACATTTATGCAGAAGACCCCGTTTAGGTGTTTTTGTGGGTTTTGCAAACGGGGTTACCAAGGCCTAGTATTTGTCTCCTTGTCCGAAGGTTAAGACGGCCGGTCCTCATGTATGAGGGTGCGAGTTCGAAACCTACCAACCGCTAATACCAATGTGACTTTTTTCGAGTTATATGTACTTTCTAAGATTATTTAGACACCAAAGACAAACGGTGAAGGAAAACATTGTGAGGAGACCTGGACTTATAATTTCCAATTCAAATTTTGAAATCGCCAACCCGCAATTAGCAAGCATGGTGATTAATGTTCTTACGTTCTCCGTATGAGAAGAGGCTTTGCTCAGCAGTGGGCACTTATAGGCTGTTGATGATGATGAGTATTTTATCCCTTATAGCTTTTCAAGTTGCCCTTTGAAGATATTCAGAGTTAATATATATTTTTGTTTCTTCTACAGGCGGATTGGTCGGAGCAGTTCGTCCTGAACGTGCATGGAGGTTCAGTGTTTCCATGCGGAGATGGCGTCAGGGTGTTATTCCAATACCCTGAATGTGTTCTGGAGGGCGCTGACCGGGTTAGAGTGTTCGGGAGGGACGCTGACCGGCTGCGGTATGTCGCTGAGAGGAGGGTTCGAAGGTCAGTAGTATATTGTTAATGTTAATATGGTGGTTACAAGTCGGACTTTAAAGTTTCACTGTGTAACAGTATTCATTGAAATTAGTTCTGGCATTTGCAAAAATATGTATATCACGCTTGCCTACTAGTATTGGGGTAGACAAATAGAATAGAATATCATTATCAGAGACTGCCTCGTTGGCCGAGTGGTCGCAAGTGCGACTGCTAATAATGCTTTAAAAAGTTCTCAGTAATACGGAGTCTGGAATTGTGCCCGGTATATGGCAATAGGCTCACCCCCTATTACATGGGACTCTTAACATAAATAGTGGAAAGTAGGTGTTATATTGTACAGTGGCATAATGTACACCCCTGGCTACCCCTTCGGGAATAAAAGGCGTGATGTTATGTTATGTAATGATTATTAGATCATTACATTCAGTTTCTTTTAATTTTTCAAATGCTACATTTATGTTTTTAACATAAATGTAGCAATAATTTTCATTATTAATCTACATTTGTAGGTACATCTGCATGTATATAGTTTCTAATTTGCGGTCACAATAATCGGCTTATGTAACCACACGAATGTAGCGGGGATTACAAATTTGATCAATTCACCATTGAGCTTAGTATTGATAGTTTAAAGAGCAGCTTATACCGGTGGATGAATTAATTGTACTGGATCCCAGTTAAACCGGATCTGTTGAATATTAGGTGACTATTCATAATAGTGTTTCATATTATTGATTAGTAATGTGACGTGTGTGTGAATGTGTGAAAAAGAAGTGAAAAAGAGTAACCTATGTAGTTTCTTGCTCGTTCTTCTCCATAGTAATCTACACTTTGGAACGAGCAAATAGCTTCACTAGAGGACTGACCTACAGACTGAAATTTTTTCTTATTATTTAATATTTAAATATTTTGTTTTGACGTTATAAAGTGCCTTCTTAGTCTAATTTAAATAAATGAATTTGACTTTGACTTTGACTTTGACGTATTTAGAATAGAATTGTATGTCGATGTCCCGGTATCAGCGAGTTATTCATTTTTATTTGTGATCAGAAATGAGAATTTGAGTTCGGTGCTTGGCATATAGACTTCATATTTTTACGTACCTAGGGGTTAAAATAAAAAACAAATTAACAATTAAACGCATTGGTACGGTAAACAGATATTATAATTACTACGTTTTTACTGAGGAATAATATTCTTATGTATTAGAAGCGAACTTATTTTATAACCATACTAGTCGACCATTAATTTCATTCATTCAAATCGCCTGAAAATTATTTTTCTCACGTTTTAAACCTTCACTGAACTTCCAAAAAAATTTCAAGACCACAATTAGCCATATCGGTCTAGTTATTCTCGAGTTATAGCGAGATTAACGAACGGCAATTCCTGGTTAATGAAAAGATAATGATAAAGTTAAACTACCATCACTACTAGTGCTTAGTCTCCTAGGTCAAGCAATTCCTTGCTTAAAAGGTAGTCTCCAATAACTGTATCAAAAGCCTGTTGTAATTGTAACAATTTTTTTAATTTTTTTGCCGTTTTTATTCGATTTATTCGATCAAACGAATAATTTACATTACCATTTACCATTTACACAAAGCTGTTCAAATACAAAATTATATAAACGAAATAATAAACTCCAAAAAAGTAATAAGTTTATCGATATTAATAATAATATCGATGTAGCTAATGAGATGTAACCACGTTATCAGTATATGTAATTAATGGTTTTAATTTATATGCTACCAGTGGCAACCATTACACGGGGCTGTATAACACGTCTGCGATAACATTAATTTCCCGCTAATGTCGCATAAGTTTCGTAGACCTGTCATCTTCTTTCGTCCGTTATATTTAATAACCGAGAAATTAGCCTTGATAAATATTTATAAGGTATTCCAATATGTGCTTTGCACGTTTTTAATTTGGTTAAGAATTCTTTCAAATCTATCTCTAAATCTCTTTGACTGGATTTTAGTTTTACATTGTACTCACACAATCGAACCAATAAAACTATGTAACTAGAGAATTGTATTGTAATCCTGATTGAAAAACAGTAGCCTATGGCAGTTTCTTGCTCGTTCTTCTCCATAGGAATCTACATTAAATTTTTTTGTTGAGGTTCTAAAGTGCCTTCTTGGTTTTGAAATAAATGATGACTTTGACTTTGAATTCGTGTAGAAACGAATCTGAATAAAGAACACCCGTTCAATCCCCGCTCACATAATAAAGAAGACAATACAGTAAGAGCACCTTAAAACAGAAAGGAATGTTACCGCTTATCCTTATTTACTCAGGAGTTGGCAGTATTTTTTCTTTTTTATTCTCTAAGAACTTGTACCCAGTGTAATAGGCTTGGCCTCCATTTGATTAGTTATTAAAACTATTGATAGTGGATGTCATTAGGTGACTTGATGTATTTCTCATGTTAGTGAACTCTGTTGTTATGAGAATTAAATTCTTTAAACACATGTTGTATCACACTTATGTTCTATCGTCCATTCTCCATTATCAGTATTAAACATTTCTTTTACAATGTCAAAGAAGTTCTATAATTTCGAATGATTTGTTACAGAGGTCAGCATACAGTGTCGTTCGACTGTCGGCTGTTCAGCGAGCGGTACCCAGAGTACTGCTTCGTGTACGTCTCGCAAGCTGTGACAGGCGCCGTCGCTGACGTCAGAATGGACTGCCTACCCACATTGCCGCTCTCAGGTAAGAGAAATAGTAATTTATTTTTATAAACCGACAAACTATCGAGAGCTGTATGCACAGGTATTATTGAAGTTTTCTGTAATAGTACGAAGTCTGAAATATCGGTATTCATGCTACTAGAAGGGTCAGAATTGAGGGTTATCTGGGCTATATTTCGCCAAAACGCCATTGCCAGCAACAAAATATATGCAGCTACAACAATTACCCACCTGGTGTCCGCTCAGTTGCGCAACCAAAATGGCGGCATGATTCGACACATTGGTTGCTTTTGCGCTGTATGGTGTATTACTCACTCAGCTGCCAGTCCGGTCGCCACGGTGCCGGTGTCATGACTGGTTGCGCAACTGATATAAATAAATGCTCAAGTCAAGTCATATTTTAAACAGCTAAGCTAGACAAGACTTTACGCCTTACCCTACGCCTCGTTAGAGGCACATTGTAAGCAAAATCCTCAAATTGTCATCGATGCAATAGACTAGACTACATGTTAAACACACGACTACTGGACCAACTAAGTGTTATACTAACCTAATATTTGTCCAGTTTTTCTAACCTTACCGGAAGTAAAATGCATCCACGAGTACATTTACGTATTGAAAATGCATTAAAATATAAAATATTACATCCAGGAAAAGCAAATTCTAAATAATCTTAGTCTCAGTTTGATCGAGACAGTAATTCAATAGCTTATTATGAATAGCGATGAGTAAACCGAGGCTGTTACAAACTCTTAACTACGCGGTAATTTGACGTAACTTTGTCATAAATGAAAACAATGTTACCCTGTAACAGGGTAAGATTAACGAGTCATTTTGATAAAACATTTTGATTGGTATGTTTAAAGGCATAACATCGACTATTACGATGAAGTGATCACAGGTATGACTACAGAGGTCTCGTAAAATTTTATTTTTGATTTTAGATAATTCTTAGTAATTACGCAAGGCCTGTAGTTGTGGACAGTGTATCGCCATCTAAGTGTGGGATAGCCATGCTTCGGCTCGAATGGACCAGCTCGACCGGAGTGATACCACGGCCTCACAGAAAACCGATATGAAGCAACGCTTGCGTTGTTTCTGATATTTCAATGACCATGTCCATCAACCCCTTTTTGTTCAGTTAGGCGTCACTTACAGATTGGTGAGAACCCAAAACAATATTAAATGTCACCTATCTTAGCTTAGGGGTTCCTTAAAATTTAGGAGGGGTTAGTAAAAACGGGCATTTATTTTATTGAGATAAGATGCTAAGATGTTACCATGTATTAGGTAATAAATTAGTTTTGTATATTCCCAGCAGATGGTGGTGCTGGTGGCTGGGGGCAATGGTCGGCATGGTCAGCGTGTCCCGCTCCGGCACATTGCTCTACTCGCACGCGCAGTAGACACCGCTTTTGTGACTCCCCTCCACCTGCTTACGGTGCCAAGTTCTGTGAGGTAAGTGGAATTGACCAAACTATTTAAGTATTGCTATTGTCTGTAAAATCAAAATACTTTAAAAAATATAATTATGTGCTCTTCTAGACTGGGATAATTCATAAATTATATTTGAAGAAGGAGAACGCGTATTGTTTTAAGTAAAATCGCTTTTTTCAGTATTCTAAAAGTGATAAGCAAGTGATAAGATAAACATCATTGGAATACAATGACATTTTGTGTTATTTGGTCGATTAGGTCGCATCGTCATGGCAACGTCCGTTAATGATGTCAAAGAGACAATTCTTGTCAAGATTTTGTTAATTTTACACATTGGTCACACTCTAGTGCGCTTGTTGCGTCGCGGAGAACCTAACGGGTAACCGGGGCTCCGGTGCGACGTGCAGGAGAAGGAATGGGGTGGTTTTTAGTCAGTAAGAGTCTGACACTCCCTTCCGCCTCTCCCAGGCGGGACCAGTCATTCGATGATTTTCCCCCCTTAAAAAAAAAAAAAGTGCGCTTGTTGCCAAGTGAGAAATAGTAAAAAAGCGTATTTAAAATAAAAAAAAATATTTTAAAATAAAAAGTCAGGTGCGCGGTTGCTTGAAAATATCCTTGGGCCATATGGCGTACGGTAATTTAATCAATAGGTAGTTTAAATTGCCAATGACACCGAAATCGAAAAACATCCTAGCGACTGTCAATTACTAGTTAACAGTAAACTTTGTATTTAAAAGATTTTTATGTAGGTAAGCTTACTTCAATAACTTTATTATTTAAGTTTCAATATAATTTTATATTCTTATTCGTATTCTCATTAGTATATTTCAATACTACGACCATGATGCGCGTACTTTCTGGTATACTTTCATCAAAGTTTAGATTATAGTTTTTATTTTCTCTATAGTATTGTTCATTAGTAACTTTTAGTAAGAGGGAAAATGACATAAATATTTACAACTCAATACACTTACATACACATACATTAAAATGAATAGAGAAAATTATAAAGTACACTATTTTTTTTGGATTTTTACGTTGATACATATTAATATATTATCTTCTAAAAACATAAACAAACGATTTAATAACTAAAATATTTAAACTTTAAAACATACAACTTATAATACTAAAAACTATAATATTGACACCTTTAAAAAATTATAACAATGTTACCTAAGGCTTAAGGCATGAAAAAAACTAAAATTGCGCACCTAAACTTTGCTTTAAACGTGTTTTAAACAATGGTTTAATTCAAATAAAAACTAAAATAAAATTAAAACTAACTATTACTAAATTAAATATATACAACTTAAGATTATAATAATTTAAAAGAAAAACAAAATGTTTGCTATATACTGTGTAGGCTCGCCTTAATTCTTGCGATGATATTTTACTTGGCAGCACTAGCTTGTTAGTGGGTTCCTAAGTAACACGTACCATAGCAACCGCGTTATTGATGTCTATCAAACGCGACGTTTGATAGTTTGGTAGTAGATTTTGATAAATTCTTTTATTGTATTTACCTTCAATGGCTCCTAAAAAAGATAAAGGCAAAAATGATGACGAAAAAGGTGGAGTGTTCAACGAAGTGGAAAGGACGTTTATGGAACTTCAGCTTACTGACTGCAACCGGAAAGTAGCCAGACTGAGAAGCGCTGTGGAGGAGTATGAGTTGCGGCTTGAAGAACTACAGAAAGCATACGATAAGTTGGATGAAGATAGAGCAGATATAATTGCATATTTGAAAAAGACATTGACTATCAAAAATGAAGAAAACGTGGAGTTGAAGGAAAAAGTTAAGGGTCTCGAGGAAATAAGAGATATCGAAAATGAACGTTTCCAAGAAACCACCAAACAGTTGGAAAAAGATTTCGTTATAATGAAAGAGCAGCTTACTTCGGAAAATAAACTGCTGGCCGGTAAACTTAACACGCTAGAAGAGTTTAGAGCAATAAGAGATGATTTAATGAGAAAATTTGAAAACCAAGAACAGGAATTCAAAGATCAAGAAATGAAATATAAAAGAATAATCTACAATACTGAAAAGAAATTCGTTATTGGTAAAGACAACTTGAAAAAAGAAATGGAAGCCAGACTATTGCAGCTTGCTCAAGATTTTCAAGACGCAACTGAGTTGAGAGTAGCAGCTTCTACTCATAGAGTTATTAGAGAAAACATTGCTATCAATAATGAACTGGAAAATATCTTATCTACTCAAGCAAGGTTAGTAGAACAAAATGAAATGTTTAAAGAGTCAATGAGATCTGCACAAGTTTCTAAAGAATTAGCTGAAGAGGAAAGAAACAAGGCAATTGGCAAGAGTGTTGTTCAACTCAAGGTTATTGAACAGTTAACAGCTGCTTTTGAATCAGTCAAAAAAGAAAAAAGCTTATTTGAAAAAAGAAGTTACGATTTTGAAGCACAACGGATGAAGATAGAAAGATTGACTAAAGAAAATGATAATCTTAGCCTTCAAGTCCGCGTTTTAGAACAAAACTTACACGCAAGAATGAATGAACAAAATAAAGCTGTGGTGGAAGCTGCAAAAATGTCAAAAGAACGAGAAAAACTCAGAAAAGTTTTAAAAGAAGCGGCGGTTGCTATTCAGGCAGCATTGAAATTAGACGAATGGGCTACTACGAACACGGCGCGAGAAGTTATGGATAGACGTGTACTACTATCGCATTTACTTGAAATAGTATCACAATTCCGTGAACTGGAGGACGCAGAGTCTGTGGGAACAATAGGTTCGTTTAGTAAAATTTATGAAGAAGGTGACCTTGGTTTTGTGCCAAAGCCAAAGAAAAAGCAAGCATTGACAACACAACACACTATTGCTTCTGCCATTCCTACAAAAGATACGTCTGAAGTTGAAGTTGAAAGCTCAGTTTTTGCATCCTATTCAACCTCTACTATAACTGCTAGTGTCAACACTATCCCCAGCATTCAAATACTACCAACTATTACGAAGAAAGATTTTGGATCGAAGGACGAAGGAAGTGCCGAGTCTTTTGTAGCTTCATCTGTGTCTGAAGAAGTAGGAGAAGAAGAAGAAGAAAAGAATAAAGAAGATGACATAGAGAAACAATTAGCTGAAAGTAAAGCTGCGATGCAGAAATCATTTATGAAAGACCTTTTCCTTTCTCAAGTTTCTCTGAAACGGCAGTCAGAGATGAAAATTGATATCAAGAGGATATCAAAGGTAGTTAGTACTCTTAGAATGCCACTAGAAGAAAAAGATATGACAGAAACATCACTTACATCTGAGGTTGAGATTGAAAAATCAAGTGCTGAGAAAGATGATACAGCGCCGTCTCCTGCCGTAACTGGAGAGAGTGGTACTGATGATGATGATCCGGATAAACAAATCAAAAGCCCTATCGATGAACAACAGTCAGTTATCATTCAACAGCCAGAACAAGATGAACCCAAACAATCAGAACAAGATCAAGAACCAGAGGCAAAAGAAGGGTTCGATTAATATTTTATTTATTTTTATTTTGAATCGTGTATTTTGATACGAATGTTTTTATGTTTTTTTATATGTTTATAATTTATTTTTTTATTTTTTACATTTGTGCATGACGTTGTTGTTTTGCGTCAATGTTTCTTTAGATGCTATAGAAATACATTTATGCAGCGTGTCTTTTGGATTAATGTTTATTTTGTTATTTATATAAGATTTATAGAAGAGTAGGTTTTGTTTGAGAACTGTACTCCGATAGTTTTATTGAGGGCAAACAAAGAAACATTCATCGTAATTCATGAATTACGATAAAATAATCAAGCCAAGGTTGGAGACATAAAGTATATTTTTTTGAAATGTACCTTTGGTTAATTTATATTGAACTAGTTTAATAAAAATGCTATTATATTTATGTTATTTAGATAATGAACACAAGCGCAAGTGAATAGGATTTATGTTAATGAAGACATTCTGAATATCAATGTCATTATTCTTTATAATGCCGTTTTACATTAATTAATTAGAGGTATTATGTTATAATAAAATTGAGTTATACACACAAATAAGTGTAAGTTGCACGTGTGATGATTAAACAGTCCTTTATTAAATAATGTTGTTTCATTTCAATAAGGTTTTTCAGAATGTACGCGTTCTTTCATTTATTCACGTTTCACTACAAGCAATAATTTAATTATTATTATTATGCTAAACGGCTTACTCATACGATTCCACTCATAAATGTGAGCCTCCCGTGTGGTTTGTGTTGAGTTAGATTGTCAAAGAAAGTAGGTGAGTAAGCCGTTAAATATAATTCATTGATTTGAAGATAGATCAGTCTTCTGTAAAGATAGATTATACTTCTTCTAAAATTAACATTAGAATCAGCAATTTATTGAGTTTATCCTTCACCTTATATATATACTACTGTAGAAATATGTAATTAAACAATCGGCTTGACTTTTTCTTCACAAGTTGTGTATCGAATTAGCGCCTTCATTAGAATTTTATTTATAATTTATAAAAATTATAAATAAAATTCTTATTCTACATCAGAAGATAAGAGAAATGTCACAGAATTGAGAGTACACAGTTAGGTATATTTGGTAGAAAACTCTTTACACTGTTAAACCACAGAGGAGACAATGATAAAAGGTGAAACTTCAAACCTTCAGATCAGTCAACTCTTTTGTTTTGAATTCATTATATATCACTACTGAAATATTATGTTTTATTAATTCGTTTTCCTTAATAATATATACCTCTAATCATGGCACCAAAAAAGGATAAAAAGAAGAAAGGCCCAGATGAAGGTTTCAAAGGTGCATTTACTGAAGTTGAAAGAGCCTTGTATGAATTACAACTAGCTGATTGCAATCGCAAATTAGCTCGACTCCGACAATCAATTGATGAGTATGAAATACGAAATGAAGAACTGCAAAAAGCTTACGATAAACTTGACGAAGATAGAGCAGATATAATTGCTTACTTGAAAAATACACTCAATGTTAAAACTGAAGAAAATACCGAATTGAAAGAAAAGGTAAAAGGTTTAGAAGAATTACGAGAGATCGAAACTGAACAATTTAAAGAGACTGTTGCGGAATTAAAAAAGAATTTTACTACTATGAAAGATCAGCTCACATCAGAAAATAAATTACTAGCTGGAAAACTTAACACCCTGGAAGAGTTTAGGGCTATTCGAGATGATCTCATGAGGAAATTTGAAAATCAAGACCGCGCTTTTGAAGAACAAGAAATGAAGTATAAAAGAATGCTGTATGACGCTGAAAAAAAATTTGTCATAGGAAAAGATAAGTTAAAGAAGGAAATGGAAGAAAGACTTTTACATTTAGCACAAGAATTCCAAGATGCTAGTGAATTGAGAATTGCCGCCTCTACTCACAGAGTGATCCGAGAAAATATTGCTCTAAATAATCAGTTGGATAGTCTTTTAATGACACAAGCAAAAGTGGCTGAGCAAAACGAAAAATTCAGAGAGGATGAAAGAGCTGCTCAATGCGCTAGGGAAGTGGCTGAAGAACAGCGGGATAAAGCAATAAATAAAAGTATTGTGCAGTTAAAAGTTATTGATCAATTAACAACTGCATTCCAAGATGTAAAGAAACAAAAAGCTCTATATGATAAGAAACAATTTGATAATGAAAAACTACAAATAAGAACGCAAAAATTGACAAAAGACAACGAAAGTCTTTCACTACGTGTGCGCATACTTGAACAAAACTTGCATGCTACTTTGGGTGAACAAAATAAATCCGTTGTAGAAACTGCTAAACTACTGAGAGAACGTGAAAAGTTCAAAAAGATTTTGAAAGAAGCAGCTTTCGCGGTTGAAGCTGCATTAAAATTAGACCATTGGTCTAAATTGGATCCTACACGAGAAATCATTGATAGAGAATTAGTACTTCAAGATATTCTGTCGGTAATTAACCAATATCGTGATGCTGCACGAGCTGAATCAATGGAGTCATTGATATCGCTTGGCAATATATATGATAAAGGTGACCTTGGTTTTATCCCGAAACCAGTTACAAGAAAATCAGTAGTGGGCACTGGTTTAGGAACAACAGCATCGCTTGAATCATCTGAAGAAAAACGTAGCTCTGCGTCTGGTTCTTTAACGTCGTCGTCTTCCGTGGGAAGTTTAAAAACGATACCAAGTATTACACTGGTACCACCCGAAGAAGAGGGTCAACCGCCAACTCCTAAAGATAGTGTACCGTCATTTACTGTGACGTCATTGCATTCAAGTGGTAGCGATATTGACGATGAAGAGGGCAAAGACTTGAGTGATATGAGCAAGATGCTAGAAATAAGTAAAGCTGAAATGCAGAAATCTTTGATGCTTGAAATGGCTTACTCACAGGCTTCCAAAATATCTTTATCGCAAGCGAAATCTGATGGGAGAAAAATGAGCTTATCGAAGGCAAAATTAGAGACTCTATCAGGTGTTGTAGAAGATGGAGAAGGTGCAGAAGATAAGACAGATGAAAGAGAATCTTTTGATAAAGCGACTGAACAAGGAGAAACAGCAGCAGACGAAGAAAAAGAACCTGTTAAAGATACGAGTGATGCTCCACAAACTAGTGAGGATCAAGCACAGGAAGGTGAAACACCTGAAGACAAACCACCTGAAGAGAAAGAAAAAACTGATGAGGAACAGAAAGCGGAATAATTATTTTATTTCGTGTTTAAGTTAGTTTTCATTTGTCGGGTCTGTATTGAGTGTACATTGTGGTCGTTACTACTTTTCTAACAATTTATTCATTGTACAAGGCAAATAATAATGTTTAAAACTTCAAGATAAGGAACAATTAATTGTAAAATAGTTCTCTCAGTCTTTCAAATTTCTTAACAAAAATGTTTTTATTTGTACTTTATGGATATTAAGAAAAGTAATATTTGTCACAGTGTGCAATCAATATCGTAAATAATTTTGTGTCGTGTAGTATTTAGTTGTGGGTTGATTGATGTATTTTTTACATAACAAAAATATTTTATGTTAGTATTTAATTAATTTATTACACGAGTTTTTATAAAGTTTGTTTTCTTTTATTCTAATCCTAATTAATATTAGGACAGTGAAAAGTAATGAACCGACTAATTGACTTTAGGGCCGGTTTTTTCAAGCCAGTTAAATATCAGAGGCAACGTCCAGGACCAGAGGAATAACTTTGAATATTTGATAATGCTTCCATCCTAAAAACTATCAAGTGACAATATTATTGTACAGCTAAAAATCTAAATTATTATATGTTAATTGACTATTTGGCCCTAGAAGTAATTTGATTTGACAACTACATGAATAATCACCAGAAGAAAGTCACTGACGTATTTTATTATTGACTCTTGTTCTCCTAACACTGTTTAGTATTGATAGAAAATTGATGGATACTATAATAAAATTACACCATTATTGTTTTTAGAGAGATAAAGAAGTTTTCTTTAAACTTGGGCACAGAGTCAACTTTGAGGATGAGAACTACAATATTTTATTTGTCCAGGGTCAAGCAGTCGAGCTGGCAGCATGTGAGTGTGCAGCGCAACCTTGGGCGGGAGACTCGTCGATGGTGGTAGCAGAAGTTGGTGCCAGGTGTCGATGTGGTTGTGTACTGCACCTCGCACCCACTGCCAGGCTGCTGGCCGGTTCCGCCAGAGCCTGTCCTGCTCGATCATTCTGGCTTCTAAGGGTAAGTTGTGTTTTTGTTTATTTTCTTCATGATACGACTGGCGATCCGCCCTGACTTCGCACGGGTGCAATATGCATGTATTATACATATAAACCTTCCTTAAGAATCACTCTATCTATTAAAAAAACCGCATCAAAATCCGTTGGGTAGTTTCATAGACCTAAGCATACATAGGGACAGATAGACGGTGGATAGCGGCTTTGTTTTATACTATGTAGTGATGACAAATACTTACTTGTTTGCACGCTAGGATTTTACCCAAAAAACCCAAAGTAACTATTATTTATTATTCAAAAACAGACGTAAAATAAACCTAGTTTCAGGCTATACTCAGTAAAAAAAAATCTGTATTAAGCATCTACTCAGAAAACATGTTCAATAACTCAAAAAAAATATACTTCATCATTTTTATTTAGACGGCCCCCGGGGTACTTTCACAACGACGACTTGGCATCCACATTAAATAAACTTTTGTTTTAAAACTTGGTGTCAGCACTTCATTCTCAAAAATATCACGCGCCCTGAAACTTCATCAACTATGTACGTTTCAGAGACTAGCAAGTTGTTCAGTTACACGCTGGGGCATGTAAATTATGATGGCCTTAAAGTATGGAAATGTTTAAAATGAGTTGCTATCGTTAAGTTGTTTTATTATTCAGTTTATCTGGATTTTAGTGTTACATTGTTCTCGCACAATCCAAACAGCAAAACTATGTAACTAGTGAATTGTATTGTGAACCTGATTGAAAAAGAGTAACCTATGGAGTTTCTTGTTCGTTCTTCTCCATAGGAATTTACATCTTGGAATGAGCAAATAGCTTCACTTTAAAAATTAAAATTTTTTTTTGACGTTCAAAAGTGCCATTCTGGCCTAATGGAAATAAATGATTTTGACTTTGACTTTGACTTTGAAGTTTTCAGAATGTATTGACGATTGCACTCTTATCAGAACTCTTTGACCTACCTACAACATGAATTCCAAGACTATAGTCAGAATTTTAATTAGATTCCAGATTTGACAATACCTACTGTCATTTTGTGAAATAATGATACCACATATAATAGTGTAGTGATGAACACAAAAATCGATAAACAATCAGTGTGTGTGTTTTATAATAAATGTTACAGAGAGTGACAGGATAGCGATAGCGATGACGGCGACAATTTATAAAATAACTTATTACCATATTACATCTATCTGTTTTATTTGTCATGTTCCTTCATGATTACATTTTTTTATTTATTTCACACACAATTATAAAAGAAAAGTCTCAGATCGTTAGTTAATCGTCAAAACTAAATTATCGGTTCAGAAATAATAAATTTCCTAATATGCTTAGTTTACGAGAGTAAAATTATAAACGAGAAGAATCGATCCAGAAGTATTCCATTTCCATATCGAATAATTTCGCAACGTCACTATTTAGTACTAATTGTCATAACGTTGCAACACTGAAATTGTCAAATCTGGAATCAAATTAAAATTCCGAGTATAGTAGGTTTGTCAAAGAGTTTATCGCCAGAAAATATCTGGTGTTAGTAAACAGAACTATACTGTGTTATACAAATAACATGCAAGAATACATATACTAGGTATAGGCTTAATCGTACAGTATGTAATATATTATTATGATCCTGATTACTTTTTATCGCGGCTATAAAACCTTAAACTCCTTAGACTTCTTAATCAGCAGTCGCTCTCATGCAGTTAGATCATCAAGGTATCAGTAGTTTGCTTAAAAATCATAGTAGTTGTTTCTGTTAAACTCTTATCATAACATATCATCACGCCTTTTATCCCCGAAGGGGTAGGCAGAGGAGCACACAGAAGTAACACCCACTTTTCACTATTTGTGTTATGAGTCCCATGTAATAGGGGGTGAGCCTATTGCCATATACAGGGCACAATTCCAGACTCCGTGCTACTACTGCGATTTTTTATAAAACTCAGTAATGCTTTGCCCGACCCGGGAATCGTACCCGAGACCCCTTGCCCGGCAGTCGCACTTGCGACCACTCGGCCAACGAGGCAGTCAAAGTTAAACTCCGTAATATATGCAAACGTCCTTCAAACTCCTCCACTTATGAGGTTCAGGAAGTACCCTCCCCTCAATCACTGAACTATGACGGACGTACAATCAAATGTCAAAACAAAGTTATGTAAAGCTGTCACTTGAACGTATGACGGTCCATTACTACTTCCAAAGAGGTATAATACATAAATGTAAGGAGTGTTTCCATTGGTCACTGAACTTGACAATAGTTTGAGCCCAGTAATCAAGTAATGAAAACACTACACGACGATTTCTTTCAATTAAGATCACGAAACTAACTAATACTATCTACTGTAATGTATTTCAATTGACACATAAATTATATTTGTGAGACGACACAAATATCATAACTAGCCCATCAACTTTCTGAAGGGGCGGGAGAAAACGCCCGGGTATCATCACTGTGAGGACCGCCCTGAGGACACGGTGGAACACACAGTAGGGGAATGACCTGCGTAGGCTGAGCACCGCCGTGCCCTCAGGGTCATCGCCCAACCATAACCAGACCCGAGCGTACGGCGCATCGCGTTCCGCGCGTGTCTCAAAGAATCATCAGACCACCACGGATGGGGCCCAATAGGGCTGATTCCGATACGGAGCCGCGGAGGACTTAACGGGTTGCCGGGGCTCCGGCTCGAAGGACAAGAGTAGGAAGGGCAAGAGGAGACTGCCACTCCCTCCCGCCTCACCCAGGCGAGAAAGGACTTCGATGATATTCCGCCCTTAAAAAAAAATTAAATGCCCATCGACTTGTCGAATCAACTGCGTAGTTTACGTCCCGTGTAAACGAAGCTTAGTTGAAACTGTATCGCCCGTGAAGTCATTAAAACTTCCATTTTGGAAGTAAGGTCGCTTTGCCAATAGCTGCCGGTTTAACAAACTAATATTGTTCCGGATACAGTTTACGGGACGTCCAAGTTACTGGTAACTGGTAATTAACTCACAATATAACGGTTTAACGAAATTAGTTGTCAGGCTCTCTAAAAGTTAACTGTTTTGAAATATTGGTAGGCTTCGGTGGAATTTGTTGGCCGCGCGAGTCGTAATTGATTAGGGAATCTCATGTTCTGTAGTCATCGCTTCATTTTCACAGAAATCATTGTTTAATTTTTGTTATAATATTGATGGTTCTTCAAATTGGAAAATATGTTTTTTTTTTTATAAAACATTATCCCACACTAGGGTTTTCTCATGTGTCATGGGTGCGTTTACAAACATACAAGTTCACAAACACGACATCCAGACCCGAAACAACAATCTGTGGATCACACAAAGAGTTCGTTGCGGGCGTCGAACCCACGACACGTGGCTTGGCAGTCAGTTGCCCAACCACCGCACCAACCCTGCAGTCAATTTTAATCAAAAGTCTTAATAAAAAAAAACCACGACATAGGTATATGGTATTATTAATAATAATTTTAAAATAAATAAGTAGTTATTGGTTCTTATCAAACCTTCTTTAAAATACTTATTAATATGATAAGGAGACAAAAATTCAGGCGAATACAAAAGAATGATTCGAACTTATCTATACATATAATAAAATTGTAGAAAAGTGCTGTCTGTACATTGAAAATAAAAATAAAAAAATAGCAGGGGCTATTGTTTTGTCGATTTTGAACTCAAAAATGTAACTAACTTTTTTTTTGTCTGTTTGTCTGTTTGTCTGTTCACGCTAATCTCAGAAACGGCTTATCCGAGTTGGATGCGGTTTTCACGAATATATTGTGGTATGCTTCAGTTATGCTTTAGTGTTTGTTTCATGTCAATCGGTTCATAAATAAAAAAGTTACGTCAAATTAAAGAATCACGTCGAACACTATCTATCTATGGCGACACGTGGCTTGGCAGTCAGTTGCCCAACCACCGCACCAACCCTGCAGTCAATTTTAATCAAAAGGCTTAGTAAAAAAAAACACGATATAGGTATATGGTATTATTAATAATAATCTTAAAATAAATAAGTAGTTATTGGTTCATAACAAACATTCTGTAAAATATGTTAGGGAGACAAAAATTCAGGCGAATACAAAAGAATGATTCGAACTTATTCATAATAAAGTCGAGGTTATTTATTCGAAATTATATTTTAAAATGGCGAATCTAAATTCTTTGCAAAGATTGTAGAAGTTTTAATAGGTATTATTCAGTGTCGAACAAAGGCTCCAGAAGAAAGTTCTAGAAGTTTGAATTCTTTTGAAAAAATCTATCTGCTGTTTAAGCAGAGCTTTGTATTTAGGTTTTTGATTTTTTTTAAGGGGGAAAAATCATCGAATGACTTCTCCCGCTTGGGTGAGGCGGGAGGGAGTGTCAGACTCTTACTGACTAAACACCCCCTTCTTACTTTTGCATTTCGAGCCGGAGCCTCGGTAACCCGTTAAGTTCTCCGCGGCTCCGAATCGTCATCAGCCCTATTGGGCCCCATCCGTAGTGGTCTGATGGCTCTTTGAGGCGCGCGAAACGCGACGCGCCGTACGCACGGGTTGAAAAAGAATAAATTTACTATAACTGTTATATTTTGTATCATTCCATAAAATTCCAAATTGATCTGAATTCGCAGAAAGTAAATAATGAGAATGTAGGTTTTTACTTAGGTGCACAGTGCTTCGTTGTACGTACTAAACCCATATTAAGTAATATCGTATCCTACTTTTTGGTGACTGGTATCGAGAATCTGCAATTATTAATATACAACCTAACCGAAACATTATCGCTGCATTACTAAATAAAATACTGCCTCGTTGGTCGAGTGGTCGCAATTGGTCGGGTTCGATTCCCAGGTCGGAAAAAGTATTACTGGGATTTTTTTTTAAATCTCAGTATTAGCACGCAGTCTGGAATTGCGCCTGTATATGGCAATGAGCTTACCCCTAATTACACGGGACTCATTACATAAATAGTGAAAAGTTGGTATAACATTGTACAGTGGCATAAAAGTGCCGTAATGTGCACCTCTGCCTACCTCTTCGGGGATAAAAGGTGTGATGTTATGTTATTCCAAAATAGTTTTAAACTAAAGTATTGCAAATGAAGCCTTCATTTCGATAATTAATTGTTAATTAAATGCCACGTCAGTAGCCGCAGCATGACTGTTACAAAAGTAGCTTGTTTGTGCCAACGCAACAACTTGTCGAGGCAAGTTTGGATCGCCAGTTCTCAAGTAACTTCAATCGAAACTTTGGATTATCAAAATTTCACTCCGAGGTTTGGTTTAACACTAATTTCTTAATTAGTTTTTGACCTTATGATGTTAAGAGGGATTTGAAAAGACTTCTTGCTTTAGTTACTGCCTCGTTGACTGAGTGGTTGCAATTGGGATGATGACAGGGTATGAAAATTAAAAATCTAATTAGTCCGTAAGTTAGGGAATGAAAAAATATTAGACACGTATTTTTTTATTTTGTCGAATAATAAAACTCTACTTAGATAAAACGAATCAAAGTTTAGGAGTGGGGGCTAAAACGCTATTTCTACGTATAATATGTACATAGAAGTGACGTCACGCGACATTTCAAATCAATATATCATCATATTCGTTTCTGTAATAAAATAAAAAATACGTGTCTAATGATTCAAAATAATCTACCAGACGGACATTAAAATAAAAATTAGGTATCTACCCTATTGCTACTGTCAAGCAAGGGGTCTCGGGTTCGATTCCCGGGTAGGGCAAACTATTACTGGGTTTTAATAAAAATCTCACTAGTAGCATGGGCACGGAGTCTGGAATTGTGCCTAGTATATATATAGCAATAGGCTCACTCCCTAATACATTAGACTCATATCATAAATAGTGAAAAGTAAATGTTACATTGTACAGTGGCATAGAGTGCCATATTGTGCATCTTTACCTACCCCATTCAGGGATAAAACGCGTGATGTAGGCGTGAGGCGAGAAACAGGCATACCGGTCACTGACTTTATACCTACATCAGCTTCTTTATTAATATTATAGTCTATGATATTCGATGACGAAGACCTAATACTGATTCAGAGAATTCTATCAACCATTTCATTTCCCTTGGCAATTAGAATCAAGTAGGTACACAGTTGCACATCAACCTATAAATAACCAGTATAAGTTGACCGTAGAAATTGAGAAAAGATTATACAATGCGAGGCCATGATATGATGGTACTGTATAGCTTGATGGTAGCCTGTGTACATCTTTCGAAACAGCCTGTTAGTAGGTTTCCATTGAACTTGATCCATTCTATTTCAATTAAAAGTTAATGTTTATTCTTTGGAATCAATGTTTCAGATACGTATTGTTATTTTATGAGATCGCTTTCTACTTCCCATTGTTTTGTATTCTGAGTTTATATAAAGTTCAGTAAAAAGTTATATGTAAGTAGCTATGAAGTAACAAAGGGATTTTGCGTCAGTTATAATTTGGAGTGTGTGTCTGTGAGTGATAAAATTGGAGGTACGGTGGATGAAAATACCATTTATTTTAAATGCTATTTGCTCTTAAAACGAAGTATTCGTTCAAGAAATTCAATCTAGTGTTACTCCTAATCATAAAAGCCTAGACAGTAGTCAAATCCTGCTCAAAATAGTTCAAAATAAGGGTTATTTTGAACTATTTTATAAACGATGCTTTCTACCTCGCACAGCAAAACTGTGGAATGATCTGTCGTCGGCGGTATTTCCGAACCGATACGACCTTCAAACCTTCAAGAAAAGAGCGTATTCCTTTTTAAAAGGCCGGCAGCGCACCTGTGACTCTTCTGGTGTTGCGGGTGTCCATGGGCGGCGCTGATCGCTTACCATCAGGTGATCCGTCTGCTCGTTTGCCTCCTATTCCATAAAAAAAACTGATTAAGGTACAAATTCTTTTAATTTTGTCTGATATCGAACTGTTACCATTGTATTGTTTTCTATTCCTAGGCTGAAGAAGGTCTGGTAGTCAGACTTCGTATGGAGGCGGTGCGACTACCGTGTGCTGGACAATCGCTGAGGGCCAGAGATGGTGACTCTTTGGGGTCACCACTGCTGGCTTCCTGGGATGGACCTGACAGTACTGCTGTGGTAAGTGTATTTGATTATTTCGTACATTTATTTATTGTTAACAATATTATTATTATTATTGACTGCCTTTATGGCCGAACGGTCGCAAGTGCGACTACCGGGCAAGGGGTCTCGGGTTCCATTCCCGGGTCAGGCAAAGTATTATTTTTATTTGGTTTTAAAAAAAATATCTCACTAGTAGCACGGAGTCTAGAAATGTGCCTGGTATATGACAATAGGCTCACCCCCTATTTTATGGGACTCATAAATACTGAAAAGTGGGTGTTACTTCTGTGTGCACCTCTACCTAACCCTTCGGGGATAAATGGCGTGATATTATGTATTATTATTATTTTAAGAAAAAAAATACAACGGCAAACTTTAAAAATATAATTAGAACGACTAGATAATTGTGACAAAGTTATTTAACCTTAAATTAACAAACTAACAAAGAAATATTGGTTGCTAGGACAAACATATTGCCGTTCTGACGAATCTCGAACGAAAATAAGTAAAATACTCGACATGCCTTTTATACCTACCGAACTAAATTTTCATCTACCTTCGACGATTCCTAACAATATTTTATAAAGTTACCTACGTGGTATTTGTCTTATTTATTTGTTTGTTTTATTCGTCTTTAAAGTGTATACATACAAATACTTAGACATTTAATAAGTAGAATTTCTACTATTTGTCTTTTTCACAAGACTTTGAGTGCCAATGAACAAGTAGGTACATTAATTAAAGATGATCATTATCTAAGACATCTTAATTAGGCATGTCATTCACAAATTTGTTCATAAGAGTGACCTAATTAGAAATGTGCTCAATTTCTTAGAATTTTGTTTTTAGGTAGGTATAAATATGCGATATGTCTTTTCATGATAATTTTATTTCAAGATCAAGCAGTTATCAAGTTTAGTGGGTTCATACCTCGGGTTGAGAAAAGTGCTATAGTGATTTTTCAATTTTCATTAACTATTCTTTTAAAATTAATGTTCACTGCCTCGTTGGCCGAGTAGTCGCAAATGTGACTGCCGGGCAAGGGGTCTCAGGTTCGATTCCTGGATCTGGCAAAGTACTGCTGGCTTTTAAAAAATAATCTCAGTAGTATCACGGAGTCTGGAATCGTGCCCGGTATATGGCAATAGGTTCACCCCCTGTTACATGGGACACATAACATAAATAGTGAAAATTGTTCAGTAGCATTAAGTGCTGCAATGTACACTTCTGCCTACCCCTTCGGGGATAATAGGCGTGATAGTGTGTTATGTTTTTATATTATTGTATGATGTGTTAATACATTTACCCCCTATTCTACATCATTACATAAATAGGTGTCATTAAAATTGTTTGATTTTGTTTTATGATATGATAGACATCTGGTGACGTGGAGACCACGACAGATGGTAGTGGCGTGATGGAGATAGCTGGAGGTCGTCACATCCTGGTGGAGCTGCGGTCTGGGGACACCAGCGACCGGTGTGCTGGCGGGTTCCTAGCTCATGCCACGCAAATTGGTAAGTATTCAGTTGTATCTAGTAGGATAGATGACTTTTTTATAGCATAAGTCGGTATACAAGCAGATGGATCACCTGATGGTAAGCAACTTATAAGGTCTTTATTAATGATTATTATCTTTGAAATTCTCAGCAAGGAGGTACCTATGTATGTTTAGAGTGTGTATGCCCTTTTTATGAGTACTAGAAGTATCTAATAAAAAGTACTAGATTTTTTCATATCGAAAGTTTTTTTTTACAAAATATTGAACATCATAGTTTTTTTTGCATGCCAATCAGTTAGGTCTCATCTGTTGAGATTAATTAGTATTTGCTACACAAATACATTCCAGTAATATAATAGATAATTATGTAATTAATTAACTATACTGTTTAACGTCATATTACTTGCTCAATAACTCTAGACCTTATACAAATTATTGACTTTATATCTATATAGCTAAGGTTGTAAATTGATTTTAAATTTTCACTGTTATTGTAAATTAGTTATCTACATAATATTATGTATGTATTGAGTTAATGCACTGTAATACTGTGTAATTAATTTCATATACTCAATCATTGAAGATTCTTGCTTCATTGCGTCAATATGTCATCTAATTAATACCATTATCTTTATATATATAATTCTGCTGTACGTGTGTATGTCATTGAACTCCTCTTAAACGGCTTAACCACAGATATATTGGTTTGACCGATTTAAATGAATTTTTCTGTACGCGTTTGAGTGGCTCCCTGGATGGTTTAGATTCACAAATCAGCCCGGTAGATGGCGTTGCAGTTGGTATCTAGGTTATTTATCTACACCTATTATTATATTATTTTTATTATTTTATATGCAGGACAACGTCTGTCGGGTTCGCTAGTAGATTATAGTTTTATTGGAATGTCTTGCTTGAACTAACTAAATTAAGATTTACTTAACTTTGGCAATAAATCAAACAAATAAAAATTTTGATTATTCATCTCTCTCGTTGCCCGGGTGGTCGCAAGTGCGACTGCCGGGCGAGGGGTATCGGGTTCGATTCCCGGGTCGAGCAAAGTATTACCGGGTTTTTCAGAGCCTGGAATTGTATATGGCAATAGGCTCACCCCCTATTACATGGGACTCATAACATAAATAGTGAAGTGGGTGTTACTTTGTGCAGTGGCAGTAAATGCTATAATTAGCCCTTTGAGGATAAAAGGCACGATGCTGTGTTATGTTATATTTAATTTCTCCTACATAGTACCTACTATCGCTGACATAGAGACCATTTTCGCAGAACCGATTCGCAATGCGTCAGCAGCATGGGCTTCAGTGAGTGGTGGGATGTGGTGGCGAGGTGGTAGTGGTGCGAGGGAGGCTGCCGTGGCACTCGCAGCTGCTGCAGCGCTGGCCGCACTCTGCCTAGCGCTGCACTCAGCGCACCGGACCAGAGCTTACCAGCGCGCTGCTGATAAAGAGTCGCTCACCGACAGTGACGGTATGTTTTGTAGTTTAACTGGAACAGAAAAAATACTTAAATGTTGCGATAGTAGCGAACCTACCTGCTTTCATCATCAGGGGTCTGGGAGACTCCACTGCTGAACTATACAAACTGAGCCTCGTTTACAATAGTGTGGTTTGCCATAATACCCATCCACTTTTGGCAAGCGGATCAGAGACCGCAATTCAAAAGGATCCAGTTTTTTGGTAATTGCTCCAGCCTGATTTTTGTTAATTAACCATATCTATACCTTCGGGAATCCCCGAATCCCTGAAAATAAGTACAGAACATTCTGACAGTTCAAGACGAAATTAATCTTACCTTTATCTTCTAGCATGTTCAGCGTCACTGGAGTTAGGTGAAGCACCAACAGGGTCGCGCAGCACTCTTCTATCCGAAGTGGTGGGTGGTGGCGTGTCACTGCGGAGACTGCTGCCTTCTGGAAAGACCAGGCACACGAGACTACGGGACTCTGACAGGCATTCTGAAAACGTGGAACAGAGGTTAGTAAAACTTTTGATAAAATAGTGGCTTCCAAACAGAAGTAGACTTTGTTGCTGATATAAGAATAATGATGTTATTCTTCCACAATAACTGAATGACAAGGAAACAGGTAGAAGGCGAAATATGTGGTAATGTAATACATATGTGTTTATATACATATTTGTCTGGACTTTAAAAGAGACTAAATTAGTTTGTTTCGGCATTTCTTCTCAGAGTAGTAAGTTAAGAAATGTCGGCTTCATCGTTCGCTTGAAAAATTGACGGATTCGTATGATAAAGTGCTGCCTTGTCGCCTATTTGCAGAAAAAAATCACTTGTTTCACTTGTTGGAGATAATAATATGTAGTAACAACTCTGATAAAATAGTATCGTATTATTTTTCATAATGCCTTCTTTTAAAATTAATCTTTTATGAGATTAGACCACACAGTATTACTGTACTGAAGGTAGACACTACCTGAATGTATTTGTGGATCTATTTTTAAAATCCTAACCCTTCATTAAATACCACTCAAAGTTCTCAAAGAGAACCCTTCAATGGAGGAGAGGAAAGAATAATTAATTAACAAACACTTGACGCTTTGGAAGTACGTTGTTAACTGTGAGCCTATTGTTGGAGCACGTATTGCGATATCAAAATAAATGATGTTGGTACCGTTGTCTTCGTTCTTTGGGAGTTGATTGGTACAATTGTTAGGGATTATTTCGTGGTTAAGGAACTTGTAAAGTAGATTCTCATGAAGATACTGGGTGTTCTTGTAAATGAGAACAGATTGTACGATATCATATCTAGTGATATTGGTGGATCAATTGCTTTACGATTATTTTGTAGTATAATATAAACGTAATTAACCATTGTATATTTTGTACATAGGGATGAAGAGGATCCCGGAACTGACATAGAAGCAGAACCAGACAACACAAGCGTCGCGAGTGCAGAAAGTGTTGCCAGTCAAGCGACAGTCACTCCTGAGACGGTGTCGTCTAGCAGTGCCCCTGTTACTGGCAACATTCCACCTTCACCACTTCGGAGATCTCATACTGTATCTGTGACTAATGTGTCGCAGACACATGTGCCACAGGTCAGTTTTATATTCAACTCTTCTTCTCTTCCTATTTAAGTTGAAGCAGACCATAATATTGTACATTGTACTTGATAGTCTATTATTTTATTAATTAAACCCTCCATTTTAAGGCTACTTCACCACCCCAGTCTACAACTGACTCTTTGGTGGTTGAAATGAGCACCAGCGTGAGCAGTGTGAGTGAACGAGACAGCTGTAGCGAGAAAGATAGAGACAGCTGCATGTGGGACAAGGATAGAAGCGAGAGCAGAGCATCGTCGTCAACATCTGCTGCAACATTGACTAATGTGAGTGGCAGTGTGTTGTTTATGGTCAAAGGTGGTTTCTTGGGTCAGTATCTGTTATAGGATGATTAATTTCGGAGCCGCAGACGACTTAACAGGTAACCGGCTTCTGCTCAAAACTGGAGAAAAAACAAGGTGGTTTTTAGTCCGTAAAAGTCTGACACATTCTGGCTCCACTCAATTCAGGAAGAGCCTTTGGATGATTTTCCCTCATCAAAACCAAAAAAGGAACCTATTTCAATATCTATAATTTGTATTCGTGTTATAATATTCGTAGTAGTATTAAACTATGTTTTGTTTCTTTCTCAGGGCTGGTATTCACCAGCTCTTAGCGGTGTATCTGCAGCCAAGATCAGGGTCAACCCAAAGCATACCAAAGAGTCTTGCAACCGTCGCCTATTGAGGTCAGATCTCAGCCTGACCTCACACCCGGAGATGGAAATCGACTATTATGACTATGAAGTTAATAATGCTGGTAAGGTTTCCGTGAATTTTAAATTGTTAAGCCTACTGGACTGTATTCCTAAGCTCACTTGACTGACTTAACGGAATTGACAAAGTTGACCGAATTGACCGAGTGGATCGAAATCATTGAACTGGCAGGCCTCAAATTGGCAGGTCCTATATGACTGACTTGACTAGTACACTGGCCTGAACGACTTATCTAGACCTTTTTAATTGACTTGACTGGGTTGCTTAACTTGGTAGACTTGACAAAATCAGGTAACCTAACTGAAATAGCCAATTTGAATGATTTGACTGATGACTCTTCTTTGACTATCTCGACTTAAACGTATATATACGTTCAAAGTAGACGTTCTATGTCGATTCCTTCGACAATGGGATTACGTACAACGTATTACGATTATGACTGACAGATAATATGTCAAAGACATGTCGGCTATCGTTATAATGGCGTTGTTAGCGCTGTGGCTAATATTGTAGTAATTAAAAGCCCTAATGAGACCACGAGACTTCAAACGGTTGAATTATATTAATACCTCGCTAAGCCACCATTCCAAAATGATTATTCCTTTAACTAAATTTAAAAGAAATTGAATTGTCATTTGTCGCAGGTTCAGTTCCTGGCTCGTATTTGGGAATGGATCCAGCTTTCCTTGTTTGGATCCCACCGCTTGAAGAAGGCGATATTCTAAAGGAGATTGATGAAAACAAAGTGCCAATATATGAGGTAGGCAGTCGATTTTTTAAAGTGAATACTATCTGCTTTCATAAAAATGTTTGCTAAGTCGTTGTATTTGTTTACAGGAAATTTTACCAAAGGATCTGCATCCTGATCCTGGTAGCAACACCGAGTCACCTGAAGATAGACCCTCATCGAGCACTCTCAAGAGGAACCCCGACAATCGCATCAACAGATCAAACGAATCCATCAAATCATTCCGCAAAGTTATCGAAAAGGGAAACATAATACACCCGTTAAACTTTAGCATAAGTGATTTGCAAAACTCTCCTAAAATGACAAAGAGGAATAAGAAAAAGAAAGCTGAAAGTCCCGTTACGATACAAATGAAAGATTTGACGCTAACACGATCTCCAGTGAGAGTGCATAGAAAAGAGAATCGAAGTGACTACGATACGTCGACATTAAAAAGGGTAAATGAGGCCAAAGAAAAAGATTCTGGGACACTGAAAAGAAATGATTTCTCAGATATAAAATTCGCTGATGAAAATTCAGATTCGTCAAGCGAAATTAAATTTGCCGATGATTCACCGGATAGCAATAGGATTGTTGATAAATATAATGTTAAAACTTAATTAGGATACTTCGTTGGAATCCTTTAAATAGATACTGCATTTACTCATTATTTAAAAACGATATAAGTATTATACCTACTCCATTTCTGAAATGCGAATGTTTTTTTACCACTTCTTGAAACATGAAAATCATTAAAGCTATTATGAACAATCACAGATTTAAAAGCGAATTAATTAAAGTATATTTTATATATTTAAGGGATAAAGTACATTTTAATTTGATAACAAACATTTCCATTCCCATTAGTTGAGTATAAGGACCAATCTGTGAATAAATCCGACATATTATAGCTTTCATATCATCAAAATAATATTTTTCAATGTCATTGTACCATTTATCATTGGTATAAGGTAGTAACACATTTAGTTATAGAATTTTATAATCAAGCTAATCGTCAGTAGTATTGTAGATTTCACTTGGCTCTCACTATTAAATAGATGAATGAAGATACTGCTTGAAATGTAGAAAGAGATGAAAAGTTATTGACAATGGTGACCCGATGAAAGTGGTATAAGTATTGAAGATAGTTGGTCCTTTGCGCCGAATGTAAGCATTCGATAATGATAGTAATCTTATTCTACATTTAAAGTGAATTGATGTTACTCGCATTGTATATACTCATAGCATTTTCCGATTGTTCTCACGTAATATTTATTTAGTTTTTATCAATTAAATAATAACATCGCTGTGCCCACGCTGCCAAAGAGTAGTTAATTTAATATCCTAAGTTTCAGTCACTATTTTTAATCTTTATTAGAAGACTGACTTTCGGGCAGTGCAATAATATATATCGAAAGTAATCTGCTATCTTAAAAATTCTAGTAATTTTGTTAAGAAGCGATTAATTAAAAACTTTTATTTTGCTGTCTAAGCATCTCAGTAATTCTTCGACGAGTTTTAAATTACTCTTTTTTGGTACGAAGTATTCTAACGGATATAATTATATAATAATTATGAGTAAAAGCAGAAATAAATAATCCACGTTTATTATAAAGTACCGGATTGTAGGCTTAATTTATGTATTTGCATTTATTTTTAAAGATGTAACTAGCAATAAGTATTGTTTTTAATATTATTTGTATAGGTTTGTATGTCCTTAAATAGGACAAGTTGTTTTAATGTTTAATATGTGGAAAATCGATTAAAGACATTTTGATTTTGTAATTTGATATCGGTATTTTATTTATATCCCAATAGGTTCCTTTGTAAAGAAAATAATCGTATTTTATCTACTGTAGGTACTTGAGAAACCGAAACAATGGGAGTATAGTTTAGTGAAAAAAAAATAACCATCCACTTGTACACACGGCCACACATCAATCTATACAAAACCAGTTTATCCTGGTGCCGCGTCGCATCATCTTTCCGCACATTTAACGTTCAGTTTATACTGGTTACGTAAAGCTCGATGTGTAGCCGTGGGTACATCGTAAGTAAGTCAAGTGAAGGACAAACTTTCAGGAACTTGTTTCGGTCGACGAAACCTCCCAAGTTTTACAAAGTAACTTGGACCACGCGATATAGGACCAGTTGTTTTTATGTGTAGTAAGTACATAGAGACAAAACAGCTTTCATTTACTTAGTAAAAAGATCTTACGCCCGTATACTGAAAAACTACTTAGGTTCAAGTTGTGCTTAAAAATCGTGCCTGTAATTATGTGATTTTTTATGTGATAAGCTGGTAAACGAACATACGGATCACCTGATGGTAAGCAATCGGCCTCGCCCATGGACACCCGGAACACCAGAGGCGTTACAAGTGCTTTACCGGCCTTTTGGGGATTAGGAATTTGAGGATTGTTGGGATTCAGGGATTGAGGGTATTGAGGAACCTTCAGTAACCTCATTCACAACGCAAGCGGTGTTTCACGTCGGTTTTCTGCTCGTTGGTGGTATCACTCCGATCGAGCCAGCCCACTCATGCCGAAGCATGGCTTTCCCTCAAAAGAAAGGAACAGAATCTAAAGAAGACTAATAACCGTTCTTACCAATCATCCCTTAACAATCATCACAAAAAGATACTGAAAATCAATCCCTTACTAGTACCGTTAGGTGAGTGTGTAAAATATGTCACATACAAAATACTATACAATTCCTACAACTGTTTAAAATGTGATAACCAATCACACAAGTTGTTACAGCAAAGCGAAAAGCAATCACAACACATTGCAATTAAGTTTCTAATTCAAATCTGCACAAACCTACATCAAAAGCAAGATATTCTAAATTACTAAATAATCAAATATCTCTATGAATTCCATATCTTATTTGTTCACGAGTTAGCGAGATAACCGTGCAACATCCCAGCTGCATAACTTGGTAAAACTATTAGTTGCCTATATAGAGGTATAATATTATTATAATGCAGCGGGATTGCCAGGACCGCACTTAGGATTTGTAGGTTGTTGTAAATGTTGTTTTGTCCTTTAGAAGAGCTCTTGTACAGATGAAACACTACTACTATATTGACACAAAGTGCATGCTAAGCAAACGCGTGTGTGTAAGGTACTAGGTGGCTGCGCCCACGAACTTAGTATTAATAACAGTCGCAAATAAACTCCCAATCGTCTAATACTTTATTTTCAAACCTCAACCTTGTCGCGGAGAACCTAACGGGTTACCGGGGCTCCGGCTCTAAGCGTAGGAGAAGGAACGGGGTGGTTTTTAGTCAGTAAGAATCTGACACTCTCTCCCGCCTCACCCAGGCGGGAGCAGACATTCGATTGCAGTTCATAAATTAGAATATTTTTATGTACACATCAACAGAGTCTAAACTACTTTTATTATAAACTTGTTAATATTATAGTTGCTGAAGTTTCTGAGATTTTTATGTAATATGTTTGTTACTCATCATCATCATCAACAGCCTATAAATGCCCACTGCTGAGCAAAGGCCTTTGTGGATTAGGAGTTTGAGGATTGTTGGGGATTCAGGGATTGGGGAGATTGGGGAAGGGGAGGGAAATTGGGCCTCCGGTAACCTCACTCACGCGACGAAACACAATGCAAGCGTTGCTTCACGTCGGTTTTCTGTGAGGCCGTGGTATCACTCCGGTCGAGCCGGCCCATTCGTGCCGAAGCATGGCTCTCCCACACTTAAATAATGTATGTTTGTTACTCATCATCATCATCAACAGCCTATAAATGCCCACTGCTGAGTAAAGGCTCTCTCTCACGGAGAAGGTTAAGCATTAATCACCACGCTTGCTCAATGCGGATTAGTGATATGAAACTTATAATTAGAAATTATAAGCCCAGATTTCTTCACGATGTTTTCCTTCACCGTTAGTCCGTGGAGTCTAAATAAACTTATAAGTAAATATAACTCGGAAAAAGTCGCATTAGTATTTACCGTTGGTAGGTTTTGACCCGCAGCCACAAGCATGAGAAGCGGGCGTCTTAAACCTTCGGGCCACCACGACATACATTTTGTTTGTTAGTCAATCACGTCAAAACGACTAATGGGATCGGGATGAAATTTGAAACAGGAATAGATTATCGTCTAGAATAACTCATAAGCTACTTTTATTCCTCGGGAATGCGAGCGAAGCCGCGGGCTGAAGCTAGTTTTCAATAATGTGTTCAACAACAACATTACCATATCGACTCAATTTAAAAGTCCACGCAATAACAGAGAAATTCGAAAATTGAAGTATCATACCTTTTAGGTATTTAACGGGGTTATCCAATACATATACTCTTACTCGGCTGTCACACAACTGAATAGTAATCTATTCAAGATCACTATTCAATTATGTTACACCTAGTGACAAAAATGGTGCTTGTTCTAAGTTTATCCACGAATATCCAATAAATAGAGCAATATTAGTGTCCCACGGATTACTGCACGCTATTTTCATCTAGACTAAAAGACAGGAATTTAATATCTTCGTGATAGGACAGCGAGCAATTAGGTTGAATGCCTCTCCCGCTATGTGTGCCAAGCATGATGGTTTTACTAAATTATGGAATGGGGACAAGCGCGCATTAGACGCTAGATACCGGATAATCAGTCAGCCCTTTTTTCATTTATAAAATGAATGGTTAATTTTCAATGATGGGTTTTTTACTTCGCTGTGTGTAGTTGTGTTTTTTTTATAGCATAAGCCGGTAATGGTGATGGTAAGCAATGGCCTGATGGTAAGCAATCGGCGCCGCCCATGGACACTCAAAACACCAAGGCGTTACAAGTGCGTTACTGGCCTTTTGAGAATTGGGAATTTGACGATTGTGGAGGGTTCGGGGATTCTAGGGACTAGGGCGAGGGGTAATTGGGCCTCCGGTAACCTCACTCACACGACGAAACACAACGCAAGCGTTGGTTCACGTCGGTTTTCTGTGAGGCCGTGGTATCACTCCGGTCGAACCGGCCCTTCGTGCCGAAGCATGGCTCTCTCACACTTAAACGTGTGCATGTGAGTACGTGGGTATTTAACATTATGACCTCATAGATCAATCTTTCTAAGATACTAATTCTCCGCTGAGCTTCCGAAATCTAAACACAAAACTTAGACAACTTCACTACACGAGAATAGTAACACTTCTCCCAAAAACTTTTCTTTAGTACAAACTTAGTATCTACTGATCTAAATCTAGTTGGAAACTAGTCAAAGAAAGTTTGCCTATCTAAAATACTCTACGTTCAAGATTCAAGGATCTATCGACCCCAGCGGGCATTAAATAACAATACAGCAAATACCAACTCATTCCAGTATAGAATAAACACACTGATTTTAAAATCCTCCGTTCTATTTTTAATTAGAACGTCCTCCCAGTCTCCAAGTCATTTAATGGAATTCTCTAGAAGTTGGGACGTAGAAAAATAAATCGTTAAACAAAGGAGTTCTTACAATCGGAAGAAACAAGGCTAACTTTCTTAACTGCATTCGTAAACAGGAAAACAATAAAGATTACTTTACTGACGCCTTGTTTCTGGTAACTTGTAAGTAGTTAGCTGTTTACACGAGATGTTAATTTAGTTCATTTCTCTGGGGATCGGAGACGAATTCTGTTGCCACACTGAGTGGGATTTTGTGCCAATGTTGTTGCTAGTTTGATCGTAATTGCTTTGCAAGATCCGCTACAGTTTGTTGGAAACTTTAGCAAGACGCGGAATTTTTGTCTTTTAATTTTTATTTTAGGGGTAAAATCAGTTGCATACATTATGTATTAGTGCGATCGATCGTCGGATAAAAACTTCTTAGAATTTTTGTAAGAAAAAAGTGTCTACAATAACATAAAAAATCACACAATTAATGCTTTGTTAAAACACGATTTAGAGCTGAAAGTAATTGTCCTGTTGGAACCCAACTAAAGTTCTGAATCATAATCATAACAAACAGATTGCTGCACGTTCCTTAAATCTAAACATCGGAGATACAAAACATATTACATGCTACAAGTAAGAGGAGACTTTAGTACTATGTAATTGCGAACCAATCTTATTCAACGTAACATCCACAACCAAAAATCTAATGAAGCAGTCATGTCGAAGGATTTCCTAATAACCTACTTTTTAATTTAGTTAACCCAAACTCAACGAGCCGACATCAATCCTAACCCTTTCAAGGTCCAGTTCCCGTTGCATGTGGGTCGAAATGGTCCAATCTGTTACGAGCCATACAAAACAGTCCACTTAGTACCTTGGTATACAGTCTGCTTGGTCGTCAAGGGATCAGTACTCAATTAGCTCCGTGAAATTGCCTTGCCCAACCCGGACTTTAAATAAGTTAAGCGTCGTGTTAAATGTTCATCGAGCCATCACGTGGATAATGTAGTAGTCGGACGTGGTATTGCCTTTGATTGGATTGGAAGCTGATATTTTGGGCTCCCGGACACTAAATACTTTTCTAAATAACCACCATGTTCCTGAACAGTTCAGTGTTTACCTGTAAACACTGAACCTAGTAGACATAGCATACTTCCTTCCCACCAGTCCTAAATAATTTTCCTTTCGTTGTGTTTTTTGCTTACTCACGTCATTATTCGACGGGGAACTCGACTAGTTTCAAGCCATGCTAGAGGCTCATATTCATGAGAAGCATTCCGCGACCCGCGACGCGGCGACTGTCTTCATGCTTCTCAGACTATACGAGTTGCAGTATTTTTTAATGTAATAAAAAGCTTGGAAACTACTACTCTACAGATGAGCATCTTGACGACAATAATA